ACCACGATTGGGCCCTGAATTGCCGGCTTTGGGACAGCTAGGATCACCTGCCCAATGGCCAACTCTGTGACAGGCCGGACAGCGGCTCTTGGATTTCTCGCGGTTGATGAGATGCTGACGGTCCTCATTGAAGGAGTTCTTGTAAAAGCCCCTTGACTTCTGAACTTCGCGCAGCTTCTTCCGGGCTTCCTGATAACCTGAGCGAGACTTGTTCATAGCCATGTAGGCCTCATACACCTGGTCATCATTGGACGCTCCCTCATCGGAGCCAGCTTGATCTTCATCGCCAGCAGCATGCATGGCATCTTCAGCTTGCTCATCCCATGACTCTTCATATCCATCCTCGGCTTCATCGTAGTAGGCCTCATTGGCTGTGGCATCTTCATCCCAGGCTTCATCTTCTTCATGCACTGCATAGCCCTTTCTGCCACCTTTGCCCATGGGACGTCGTAGATCTCGGCCAGGATGAGTCTTCTCTCTCTCATGCAAGTCATGGAAGGACACACGCAATGATTGCATGATCCCTTGACGGGCATAAGCACTCTGATTTGCCAGTAGAATGGAGCGGCGATCTTCGCGAGACAAATTGCAACCTTTCAAAACAAAATAGCTCAAAAGGTCTTCGCTCATAGCCGATGTCTCGTCCAGGTCTTTCAAATCCTCCCATGCCTGAATCTTCTTTCGCAAGTATTGGTCCACTGGATCTCCCCTGCGTCTGGTCGTCTGCTCAAAAAACCTGTCAAAGGCTTCAGTCTTCTTGATGATGCCCTCTTTCTCAATTGACTGAAGTGCTGCAAAGATTTCTTTGTAGCCATCCTTCTTCTTCAGCTTCGCAGGGTCCACGGTCAAATGCTCCACGGCTCTCCAGGCCTCTCCGTGCAAACCATTGATCAACTTGGTCGCAAACCTTTTCTGCTTCCGCTCTAAATCCGCCGCCTCCTTCTCCGGTGTGTCACCGTCGCCCTCTAAAGAACCATAGGCGAACAGAACTCTTCGCCGGTATTCTTTCATCAAATGGGAGTGCACACCTGTGTAGTGCGGCAGACCGTCGCGGTCCATACAGATCTCATGATCGGACCAGTACGGCTTAGCAGCCGATGAAGCATCCGCCATGGCACCAGGTAGCTCCGCTACCAGTGCGAAATGCACTGGTAACGCACTGAGCTCTTTTCACCGCAGGGACGAAAGTAAAATGAAACAAATGAATTCAGCTGTCTTACTGTTATGTGTACACTTCTCTGATTTGTGCTTGTCACTCTTGCCAACTGGTGCACTTCTCTATTTGTGGCGTGTCATCCAACCTCTGCTGGACTTCTATGATTTGTGCGTGTCATCTGCCGCAGCAGACCTGAAAACACCTGGGCCACTAAGGCCATCTGAGTTCGGGCCAGCTGAAGAAACAAATGGCGTCAAAGTCAAAGATAAAGACAAAGTCAAGCTACCTGATGCAGCGGCCGTTGGACGAAGGAAAATCTCACATATATACATATATCATTGATCTAATAACTTCCAGCTGTATTGTAATGATATGATCTCGGTTGTATCCGAGTTGTATCCCCATTATACTATCATTTTTGTTGGTTCAATTCCTATGATTTCCCAATTAAAACACCAGTTAAATCATCATCCATCAAGTCTCATTAAACCCCACTAAAACACAACGAAATTCCATTGAAACACCAAGTCTCACCATCCAAAACTGGTGACTCTTCGCGGCTTCGCCCTGTGAAAAAGTTCAACAAATCGGGGGTCCGGAAAGGTGGACTCGCCCTCTTTGCGCGGCTCTTTCTCGCAGCGCTTCAAGATCTCCTGGATTTCGGCGGCGGAGTCGACGAGTTACGACGACGACTTTGGGGATTGGAAAAATCATGGGGATATCATGGGGATATGGTGGGGATGTAATGGGATTACCTGCTGGTAATTTAAAGATAACTATATGGAAAATCATAATTTTTACAGGGAAAATAGGGAAAATCAGGAAAATCACCATTTTTTTTCCTTTTGGTAATAGGGGAAATGGTGAGTCAATGGTGATTTATTGAGATCTATTGACATTTAATGGTTTGAATGAGATTTACACTCCAATAAACTGACATAGCCTATGGACAATCCACAATTTTTAATGGGAACATAATCTATAAAAATGCAATCTTCAATATATGGGCACGTTCAGTCAAATTCTGATTCAACATCATAGAAAAGAAACGATTTCATATATCTAACATGATCTACCCTCTGGTTATTTAACATAGCCATGGAAAATCACCATTTTTAATAGGTAAACCATCTATTTCTATGGGCCATGGCTTAACCATGGCGAACTGTTAGTCATAACCAGAGGGTAAGTATCACCAACAAACAGGTGATTTTCTACACACAAAGGTTGTGTAGAGAAATCCAAAACAACAATTTCCCCCACAAAACCAGGCCTTCCTGTAGGCCAGGAAATCCCACGTTTTAGAACCGAGGGCTGCACTGGAGGGTGCCGCTTAAAACATCCCCATTCATCATATCATCATGCACTGAACAAATAGTGGATGGCGAGAAATCCATCAAAATCCATAGGAAAAAAGTGACTGCTACAGTGACTAATCATAGGATATGATGGGTGGATAATTATCCTATATTATCCTTTATTCCACATAGCTGACATAGCTATAGCATGTTAGTGAGGTGTTTATCCTGGATTATGGTAACTAATCGGTTGAGTATTTTCCATAGGATATTACTGGATATTATACTAACCATAGGATATTACTAACCACAGGATATTACCCTCTGGTAAACAAACATAGCTATTGAAAATTTGAAAATGGCCATTTATAGTGGATTTACCCATAAAAAAAATGTGATTTTCCATAGTTATGTTAGTTTACCAGAGGGTATACTAGATATTAATAGGTGGATCATAGCTGGATAAAGGAGAAATCCATTGGCTCCTCGAATTTACGGTCCAGCTCTCTGAGCTCTTCGGACTGTTTCTCCTGGCGTTGATTTGTTGATGCGCCGTTGATGGCGAGATTTTTGGCCCAACAAAAGACCCAAAACTGGTTGGTGGTGCAATAACCATCTTGAAAAATATGAGTTCGTCAATGGGAAAGACTACATCCCATATATGAAATGGAAAATAAAAAATGTTTGAAACCACCAACCGGAAAAGACCGATACTTTACAAATCAACAAATCAAGAGGTTTTGTCCATATCAAATCCCATGGAACAATCGACCAAAGAACGCCGTCTGGGAAAAAAAACGATGGACTCGGGGAGTGAAACCCAACTGATTGGTGAGCAGCAGCGGTGCGGTTGATATGGGTCAATGCGGAAATAGAGATCATCATTTCATGATATTTCATGTATCAGGTTGGGGGAAAAAGATGGAAAACCTATGAATACATGATATTCAGAATACTTATTTACCAGATCATTTACCAGATATTGACCAGATATCAACCAATCAGATCAGATCAACATGGATACCCTCTGGTAAACTAACATAGCTATAGAAAATAACCCATAGAAATATCCATAGAAAAAGTTGATTTACCTATGAAAGATGGTGATTTTCCATAGTTTTTTGTATGTTTACCAGAGGGTATCTTTGGCGAATCTCCCGTTGTAAAACATGGGCCCCATTGGCCGATGAACACGTCACCGGCGTTTTTCGAAAAAGATCACTCCTCCATTGGGATTGGACCCATCCCAAAAATCAAGGCAGCCAAGGATCAAAATCACCAGATATTGACCAGATATGGACCATATATGGATCATATATCTGGGATTGAATCATCCCAACTCATCCCAACCTCTGCGATTTTCACCAAAAAAAATCGAACCCATCCGTCCTGGTTGGGGTCAGCCATCCCTCGCTGTCGCGGGGCCGAAGATCCGGCAACGCTGAGGGTTGTGCGCTGAAATGATGGGAAAAAACGTGAGGTTTTCTTTGGGGGGAAACTGTAGAGTTCAAGCAGAAAACTTGGAAAGATATGGAAAGATCATGACTGGTTGGTGGTGCAATTTCACCATAGAAATAGTGGATTTACCCATTAAAAATAGTGATTTTCCATAGCTATATACTGGTTGGTGGTGCAAACCTACCATCTTGAAAAATATTATGAGTTCGTCAATGGGAAGGATGACATCTCAACCAGATGAAATATCTGGAACTAGTGTGAGTTAGGGGTTTCTAAATGTTTCTAAACTTCGCCTGGTTCCTTGTTCCAGATGACATGTTCTAACCGTTGGCTGATGTACAGATTCCCATCAAGGATTCAAAGAAGCCAGGTTAAGCCCATCAAGGAGTATATGGACCCGTCGATCAATAGAGGGCTTTGCCCTCGCTCAAGTCCTACTTCTACTCAGGGTTTTTATCTGCTGCGCCCGATTTTTGGGTCGCTTGTCTCGTTGTCAGGGTCGCCTGCCCTCAAAAATTGACGGATTTCTTGCCTCATTTTCCCCTTTATTTGGATAGGAATGAGCGCCATGTCTGGGTATCCCATTGACAAACCCCGGTCGGTGCAAAAAGTGGATGGTGAAGCGAAATCCCATTCCACAATTCCTGCACCACCAGATGGTTGAAACCCCAACAAAATTTACTGTTGGATAAACCATGATAAACCGGATCTTTACCATCTAACTGGTGCATAACCGGATTTCGCTTCCACAGTAGGGTAAACCATGGGTAAACCACTCAAGAACCTGGGATCATCCATGTCTTTTCTTCGGCTTCGCGCTCGCAGATTGCTTGGATCACCATCTGCCAATCCCCAGCGGCGTTCTTAAAGAACGGCTTCGGGGTAGTGTCGCGCTAACCAACGATCATCCCCTCATCATTCTGAATACCATGTCTTTATGCTGCTTAAAACCAAATTTTATCGAAATCTACGAACAAGTCCATGCCCTATGCTGCAAAACAATGCCTTTCATCGGACAAAAAACACTTCGGATCATATGATTAACATCAATGAACTGTCATCTTTCGAGCGTCCATGATATTTCATGAGGATTTTCACAAAGTTCAAGACATGATCTTGCCCTTTTTCTTTGCCTTAAAGGCCCTGCCCTATTGGCCGTGCCATGGCCTATCTGCCGCGCCACAGGTTGAACCGTTGTTCACGGGCTGGCAGCGTAGCACCGCGGTATCGAGCTCAGGTATCGAGCTCAGTTGATGAATGGCCTGTGCTGAATTTCTGGTTTCAGCTTTTGATCATGTCATTGGGGTCCCAATTGTCCCAAACAAATCCACATTCAAAATGATCATGAATGTGTCATTGATCGACTTTTCGACTTTCAGCTCTTGAAATACGATCCATATATATCCATATTAAGTCTTTCACAAGGAGTCAATGGGGAGATATGGTGTTTTTTTTCACCAACATCGGATCTGGGAAGACCATGAAACAAGGAATCATACCCCTCAATGGGCAGGGAAACCAAAACCAACCAAGGTGACCAAAAACCGCCAGGTTGACATGAATGGATACGCACAAGTTGAAGGTTGAATACATGATATGTTTGATTAATCCATTTAATTACTCAAAGTTGTTGATTGAACGTGATATATTATATATATATCATTATCAGTCTATATACAGATGCGTTTTTTTTTTGTGTCATCACGCCTCATCAACGAAACGCATTTTTACGATCATCCCCCCACGTATGTCGTCGTCGTCGTCGTCATCATCATCATCATCATCACTGGTTCGTGGTTTCAACCCCTCTGAAAAATATGAAATTCAGTTGGGATGATTTATTATGGAAAATAATCCATTCATGTTCCAAACCACCAACCAGATCATCATCACCTGCACTGAGTGGATGGTGCTTGACAGTGCTTGATGCCGCACTCGCACTGAGCTTCCGACACAACTATATACAGGATCACTGCAGCCACACATGTACCTTTCAGCTGAGTTTTCCGGTCATCCCCAGCATGTTCCTGGAAAAATGGAACCAAAAAACTGGTTTTATGTTCCCTCTGGTAAACGTGACAATATGTGACAATGGGACATTCCCGAACTCAAAAAACGAGTTTAGTTCACTGGGATAAAATCATCTATAATACATTATAATACTATAACTGGTGGATTTTCCAGCAAGTTATGGGGAAGCCACCAGGGATGAAGCGGCCAATTTGTTGACGGCCGCTTAAGTGAGACAAGGGACTCCCGCCATGAGATCCCTGGTTGAAATGTTTTTTTTTTCCATGTTTGATGACTGAAGGGTTAATTTTATGGTTATTCCATGGTTATATAGGGCATCTTTATTCAATTCATGTCAATTCCCATGGTTATTTCATGTATCAAAAACACGTCGGACCCATTTTCATCCCATTTTCATCCTATGAAACCCGCGCGGTCGAGTGGTCGATTGGTCACCCACCAAAGCTTTGATCTTGAGGTTGCGGAACTGAATCTAGGCGATGGAAGCGGAACGTAGCAAACGTTGACTGACGTTTTTTGGCTGGTTGGAAGCCATTTCAAAAGATTGGGTGGTACTTTTGCTTGGGTCATATTGGTAATCAATGGTCATGTTGGCTAATATGGCTAATATGATTTGGCAAGATAGTTGGGCACCTGGTTGTTGGTGCATTGCTGAAGGCAATGGTTCCCATGAAATTGGAGGGATCAACGATTCTCTGCTTCAAAGGATCGATCTGTCAGGTCAGGTCGCAACAACAGACCGCTGTCCAAAATCAGCATGGCAATCTGGCAATCCACAAAAAATCCTCATGATCAACATCATCATCCTCCACCATGAACTCTCTGTAAATCACCATGGCTTTCACCAGCCCATGGCTAAACAACCAGCCCGCCGGGCCTGTCTCCGCAAGTCAACGGACTGTTTCAAAAACTTGTTCGCCTTGGCCAGATGGGAGTTCACATGTCATCACTATGGCGTCTGAAAGTGGGCTATGGCTATATCCTCCAAAGTGGTACTTGATCATTGGGAAAATATGAGAAAATGCTTGGTTTTACCATGTTTTACCAGCCGAGAACTCGTGGACTTTTTCCCAGGCCGCCCACTTGAGAACTCATCGAAGAACTCGAATTCCTCACGACGATTCGCGACGATTCGCGTGGCCGAAGCACATTTTTCTATCTCCACAACATGGCGTGGATGGGTTCTATTGGAAGAATTTTATATGGTTTTAAATGGTTTTATATATGGTTTGAACATGTTTGAAATATTGGTTAAATATGGGGACCCGCTGGCGCCGTTTTTTATGAGGAAAAAGCATTCAACCTCTCGATGGATCGATAGGTTTTAAAATCAACTTGTGACCTGATTTCAAAAGACAGGTATTGGCAGTATCCATGTCGGCAAATTTGTGATCTGGGATGATCCATTGCTTTTCCCCTGTTACTTTGACAGATTCTCACAGAAATCCAAATCAAAAAAAAACGATCCCAGCATTTCTTGGCTCACAACTCACAACCAGATTTTCAACCAGATTTTCTCAGATTTTCGATGTTTCCAGCCAACAAAATATTTCCCATTCCACCGTCTCAGATTTGTTGAGTCTCAACCCATCTCCATGGAAAATACCTATCCCAATCCCATCCCGTGATGGTTGATGAATGGCTATCCCGTTTTTATGGTTTATCATACTCCCCAACATGCTAACCGGGTAACCACTCACATGCTAACCGGCAACTGACCATCCTTGATTATGATTATGATATTATGGTTGTATCATGTTCAAACTGCCAATATCGAACCATAGTATGTTCAAACTGGTTGACAATCATAATATGGTTGATTAACATGATCATGGCATAATTTAATGGTATTGGCCAATAATATGGCCAACTTCACAATAATCAATGTTTGAAACATCTTTGATCACCATTAATCCATCATTTCCCCATCATTTCCTTCACCGCATTTTCGCATTTTCTCTGGGAAGCCCCGGCTCCAAGGATTCCAGAGTCACATGTGTCTCCAGGATCTTCTTCACATTGTCCTCGCCACGCTGATCTCGCGAATGGTTGGGGATCCCAATGGATTTCCGTCGAATCCCATGGGAGATACCCGGCCTGGTAAACATACAAAAAGCGAACTGGAAAATGGCCAGTTATAGTGGATTTACCCAGTAAAAATGGTGATTTTCCATAGTTTTTTGTATGTTTACCAGAGGGTATATCTAGAAGTCCCCATTGAGGACGGTTGGGATTAAATTCCTGGGAATATAATATGTGGGAATGGAAGTGACATCTGAATCAACACAGCCAATTTGGGGATTTTTTGTGGGATTTTTCACAGCTATAAACAGCTAGCATGTGGTGGTTTTTTCCCGGTCTAATGGGGGTTCCACCATGGATATGGCCGACATGGCTTTGTTCATGGATGATACCGTGAGACCTCAATTTCTGCTTGTCAAATCAAGGGGAAACTGTTCAACTTTTTTGGAGCCTCAACATCCAGTGGATCTTTTCATCATGTCTCTACTATTATTGTTGGCCGGGAAAAAATATATCACAGTCAGACAGACCCAGATTGTGGGACTGTGAAGTCTCCAATATGGTTGGAACCACTACCCCTTTCTGAGGGTTTTAGATGGCCAGTTTGTTGCTAAAGTCCAAAGCATTCATAGCATTATAATCTAGCTGGTAAACTTGACAGCCTTGCTGGAAACACCAGAAGTTTTGTGGAAAAACACAACCCCACCCGTGTTTTTACGGACACATTCTTTGGGGTAGACATATATGTAGCTCTGGTAAATCTGGTAATCAAACATGGCAATTGAAAATCCAATTTTTCTAGACTACCTTCCCATTAAAACCTCAATTGATAGGGGATTTATCAGCCACGTGTGGTATCTATATCTGGTTGGTGGTTTCAACCCCAACATGAATCACCTGGGGATTTTGAGGTCATTAGATCAGATATTTTTCGGGGGTAATTCCCTGATTCTCAGGTGCCAAGTACCATCTCAGTCACACAATTGATCTGGCTAAATCATCATATTTCACTCTCCGTAAAAATTCTTCGGCCAGCTATGGGAAATCAAAAGAAACCCTGGCCACCATTTTTTTCCAGGCTGAGGTCGAGAACAGGCGACCCGGTCGTGATCAAATTTACCCTGACGTCCTGCATGATACCCTTCAACTGGTCCACCTTTTCTCTAACCTGCGGTTAGGTTCGCATCAAGATTTCCGTCGGAAGGGGACACCCAAAATTGGGTGATTGGGCATCCTGAACAATTCTGTTTAAAAGGCTCAAGGGACCAAAATATATGGCTTTTATATGAGTATATAACAGTATATATAGGTTACTCTTTTGAAACCTGAACAAAAAAAATCATGAGCCCAGCCGAAAATTGTGGCCAGCGCTGCTTATCCTGCAAGATTTCATGTCTGAATCGATCAACATTTTAACAGGAATCTTACCTGGGTAATACCTTTCACTTATCATTAATGGGATTAGTTGCATTTTAGCTAAATATCAACCACTACCCTCTGGTATCTTAACAATAGCTATAGAAAACGGATGAAGTTGGCCAATTTGATAGATGCTGTACCGACAAAAAAACAGGTGAGAAAATCAATAGCTATTAATCGAATTACCAGAGGGTCATAAAATTGGTCATTAATTGTTCAAACCTGGTATTGTTTATTATGTCCAATTAATGATATTAACCAATGTTGTTTATTAAATGTCAGGAACTGGTCATATTGTTTATTCATGTCATGAACATATCTATGTTTATTAAGGTCATAAACAAAATCAGCAAATTAAGATGTTCACACATGCTTTTTAACCAACATCCGATCTGGTGAAGTCGCTTGCCATTTCGACACTGCCTCAGTGGTCTTGTCTTGGCTTCCCGCGTCGTTGTACGTCCTGAGGGGTTGCCATCTGGATTTCTGACACGGAAAACGCCGCCTCCGGTCTTTTGAAAACGTGGCTAGAAAATCCCCGAACGAAATATAGGTCTTAACGGAAAAAAACATCTATAAATGGCGGATAATGGATAACGGATAGTGGCACTATAGTTGGTAATAATGGATGATAATGGTTAGTATAATTGATGGCATTCAGACCCAAAATTATATTACATGCTATTCATGGTTATTCCTGCCATGTCATGTTTTCCACCAATTCCGGATGCAGATCAACTTGTTGTCCAAACTTTCCAGTGGACTTCATCTTTGCATCAACAATCCACATCAACTTCATCAAGGTTCGCCAACATGTTACGGAGATTTGGTAAGATATACCAACATCTACTGGTTGGTGGTTTCAACCAACCCCTCTGAAAAATATGAGTTCGTCAGTTGGGGTTATGACATTCCCAACTGAATGGAAAGTCATACAATTCCATGGTTCCAAACCACCAATCAGAATACCACCAATCAAAATATGCTCGTCAGATTGGGATGATGACATTCCCAACTCTTGGGGACAATTAAGAATTCCATGGTTCCAAACCACCAACCAGATACCAATGGTTATTTACTAGCCATTACCATCTGCTTGTTTAACATAGCCATGGAAAATCACCATAGCCCAGTGGGTTTCCTTAATTTTTCCCCAATAACCCCATATAAATAAATAATTAACCATCATTAACCATCATTAACCATCATTAACCATCATTAACCATCATTAACCATTAACCATATATAGACCATATATAGACCATATATAGACCATATATAGACCATATATAGACCATATATAGACCATATATAGACCATATATAGACCATATATAGACCATATATAGACCATATATAGACCATATATAGACCATATAACCATATTGTCAACCTCTCAACCATCGACTTTTTTCCCTTAACCTCTCCTCATGAGATCGGTCAGCAATTTCCGCAAAGGCTTGGACAAAGATCCGCTTTTGGCCTTGGCGTTGCGGCGTAACTCGGGGCGTTGGGTGAAAGATATGGGAAAATATAGGGAATATATGTAGGGAATAGATATATATATAGGGAAAAAATATAGTGGAAACTAAGTGAAATAGGAATATAATAATATATGTGAAGGTACTAGGAGTTATTTCAACTAATAAATGATAATAAATGAATATTCGGGGAAATAGAACAATAGAATATAATCACTTTATATAATCCATTCCAAGTGACATAGGAAGTTGTTTTATTGTGAATAGTCTGATAAATTATGATACATCTGAAATAGGTATCCCACTGGTTCCTTGGTGAAAATGTCTATATCCATTCGACGACGAGTTTAATAGGAATAGTTAGTTTCTATAAGAGATCTATTTGATAGCATCTTGACAGTATGGCAGAACTTTTATTGAATTGATCATACTCGTTGGCTGAGAATGAACATATCATTTTGAACCTATCAAGCTATCAACAGCAAATAGCGTTTAACATCTGGGCAAATTCTTAACTCACAAACCTGAAATCAGATGAAATCACTTGGGCCAGCTATTGGGATGATTCAATGATTCCCCTAACATAAATTAACATAAATTAACCATGATTCCAGGCTTAGGTCGAGATCCCACGGAATTTCTTTGGATCAGGATCTCAAAAAAAAAACCGAGGACCGGAACTTCCAGTAACGCCTCATCACCCTGCGAGTTCTTCACCTGGAAAAATGCGTTCGGAACATGCGAGGGAAATGGTGAACAGATGGGAAAATGGTGAACATCTGGGAAAATGCTGGGAAAATGGAAGACCAAAACTGGAAACACCTGGCAACGAAAACTCTTGCGCAGTAAAACCGGAAAGAACTCACATGACTTACATGACAACATGGTGATGTTTTCTTCTTTAAGTTGCAAGTCCAGTTGCCGTTGATTCAACTGATGAGCATGGATGAATTTCAATTCCAGTCCTTCATTGCCATTGAGGATCCAAATTCTGAATGTTTCAACATATTTGAAACCACCAGAATACCACCAGATTATCATGACTTATATGTATATATATATACCCATTATATTAATTCCCATTATGTATATCATAATTTCTTCATTTTAGATGGACATTGGGATCAAAGTTCAGCCCTCGAAAAACCGATGCATCGGCGGCCTTGTCTGCTACATCGCGCAGAAGCTGTACAGCTACTCGTTCAGGGTACTGAGCCTCAGAAACGGCGAGTTTGTGGAAAACATCCTGAGGGACGATGCTTAATTAATGGTGATTTCATGGGTGATTTTTCATGGGTGAGGCCGAAGGATGGCTCAGCGCGCTTTGCACATAAGGATAGCTATGTGGTTGGTTTGGGTTCATTGGGGGGATATAACTATGATATAAACCAATGAACCAAAACCAAATGTTGGATATCCGCTGACCCCGCTTGCAGCAGGGGGAGCGCGTCAGAGGAGAAATTACAAGCAGCAAGGGGCAAGAAGCAAGAAGCAAGAAGGCAGGAAGCAAGAAGAAGAAGAAGAAGGAGAAGAAGAAGAAGCTTGAAGGCTGCCATTGCGGCGGGAAGGCTTTGGAGGTTTGCAAGCTGGAATCTGGAGCTAGTTTCTAGCAACATCTGTGTTTCATGCACATCGGCCACACCGTTCCAGTGTTGGAATTCCCATTTCGAATCATAGCCTAGAACTTGTTTTTTTTTTAACCAAGAAGAAAGCGATGTCAATCTAACAATTGATACACATTCTTTTCCGACATCCAGTTGGTAATCATTGGTATCGATCTAAACAATCTAAGCCCAATCTCTGTAACTGTAACAAAACTCCCGAAAAAACAAACAAAAACATGAACCCCAGGAACCTGCCGTTGCCCTGTTTTGCCTCCCAAGAACCCCAAAACCTCGCTGTTTTTGTTGTCGAGGAATTACTGAGGATGACACGTCCCGAATGCCTACTGCAAGGAGACACAACGCCTGGTCGTTGCAGGTTGGCAAGGGAGGTGCAGTTATAAAAATTGGGGTTCGACATGGTTAGACTACAGCTGGTTTAACGGATGATTGGTGTGTTATGGTTTGGTGACTTTCTGTTTCTTGGATTGATTTTTGGCTGAACATTTCATGCCTTTCATAAGCACAGTTGGCAAATGTCGCGCCTGTGAATCAGCAAAAGTGTAAAGAACGCCCTCACTTTCTGGGCACATTACCCGGTCCTGAGTCTCACAAGGTCCGCACTTTTGATGATCAGCTGACTCTCCCACAAAGGATCGTAGATATGGAAAATCCACTTCTTTTTTTTCGATCATTTCATTTTCAAACCATGCTTGTTTTCCATATCTACATGTACATTACTGGTTTGAATATGGCTACAGCATGAACCTCGAACTAAGACAGAAATCCATAGATTTTTTCTCATCTCACCTTCTCAAAAGTCACTATTGTCATAGGGAAACTCAGGACAGAAATCCTACGTCCTGAAGCCATAAGGTGAGGCCTCAGTTATGTTGGTTTATAAACCCCCAATGAACTAATTATATGGCCGAGGTGGTATATTATGTATTATAACCATTTATAGCCAATAATATGGCCTCAGTTATAGTTTATAACCAATAATTACTGGTTGGTGGTTGAGCCCTACCCCTCTGAAAAATGATGGAGTTCGTCAATGGGTTTCGGATGACATCCCATATATGAAATGGAAAAGACATGTTTGAAACCACCAACCAGTAATTATAGGTATATCTCCCCCGAATCAATCCAAACCAAACACATAGCTATCCTTATGTGCAGCGCACTTGGCTATCCTCCGGCCTCACCCATTACATCACCATAAACTCCCCAGCGAAACCCATCATGAAACCACCATAAAAATCATCATATGATGTGAATATCATCCAAATATGATTCAGAATATCTAGTTATATCACAAATATCTATTTCAATTATTTTCAATTCAAATCCATTAAACCACCATTAACAATCCATTAAACCATCATGAAACCACCATAAAAACAACAACCGAGAAACCCTCCATCCGGGATACGCCGATTTCGCCCGGTCCAGCACCGCGGCCTTGGTGGTTAACGGTGACTCTAATGGGGACCTTAATGGGGACTTGAATGGTGGGTGAATGGTGACTGTTCATGAAATCACTTTTTTTTTTCCATGCTGAATGAATGGTGAATGATGTGAAAATGCTGAAAAAATGGTGAGATGAATCATGAATTCCGTCCAGGCGAAATCGAGGTGTGTCTGTCTCTGTTTTCTGGTGAATGATATGTTTGTTTACTAGCTAAATGATCCAAATAGTGAAAACCCATCACTATCTAAATGATATGGTTTTCACTATTTGGATATATTTGGAAGAAGTGCTGGGTGAAAACTTGTGATTCTAACGCCTGGGTGTGAGTGGAAGTTTGTCCTCCTTTAGGAGGTCTGGCAAGTCTGCACATTCAGACGTGCTTGATGGTAAACAATGGATTCTCACTAAGACTTGGATGATTTGCTTTGAATTTTGACCAATGAAGATTCATGAACATTGGGATTTGTTGACGACATTTTGCGGGGACCAACAAATATCGGAACCATGGTCTCCATGCAGGGTAGAATCGGGGATTTCCTAAAGTTGCAACAAACAAGGCATGAACATTGAAACATTGACTTCCGCAGAAATGAAGTCTCCAACGATTGGTCGGGATGGCTTGAAAATTCGTCTATGTTTGGGGTGTACCTCAAAAATTGACATAATTACCCTCTGGTTATTTAACATAGCCATGGAAAATGGCCCATAGAAATAGATGGTTTACCTATTAAAAATGGTGATTTTCCATGGCAAACTGTTAGTCATAACCAGATGGTACTCTGGTTATTTTCAGAGAAACCTCCGTGTTCTATTCTCACGTGATTTTCCTAGAAGGATAGAAGTCGAGGCTGTGGCTTTTATGGCTGATCTCCTTTTTGGAAAAGCCGGACAAAAAAAAACATGGAAAAAAAACCAGGTGAACGGATCAACCTCAACCAGAAACCTCAACCTGAGGCTGTGGCTAAAGCAGTCTCGTAGCTCTTCTTCTCTTCATTCAACACACTCTTTTCATAGCAGGTCGCTAGAAGCACCTGGCAGATTTGCTGAACTCATGGGATGTCACCCAAATTGGAAGAAAACCATCATGGTAGCAACCCTGGATCCCGGAGGTCATAGTGAAATTCACAGCAAAGTTATATCATGTTGTATCATTTTCAAATGGAGAGACCAGTCATTTTATCATATCATATCATATCATATTATATCATATCATATCATATCATATCATATTAATTATGTTGTATTATATTATCATTAGCATTCTGGTATGAACATGTATGAACCATTCAGCTTCCTTAAATGGTTCCTGGCATCCAGTGCCCCGCCAGTGCTATGCCGCTATGCTGCTATGCCATGGCTTTCCCCGGTGAGATTTTCAGCTAAATAGGAAACGGTCCATCTATTCATGGAAACAGATGTAGCTGCAAAACCACACTTCACCAATGTTTTCCCGCGATTGTATATCTATCTATATATATATATATTAAATATGTATGCATATATATATATATATATTATGTATATATATATATATATCAAATTACTACAGTATATAGATGTATATAGTATAATCATGTACATTCGAAGATATTCTCATTTTCGTGGTCAATGCCACAACTTTCATCGTTGCTTCAACCAGTGAACCAGCGCCTGATCTTGGATTCGTGCCACACCCAGGAAGGCAATGGTCTCTGCCATGCCTCGCAACCGTTCATGACATCGTAGGATGGTTGTGTTTTCTTGGGATAACGTCATGGGGATATCATGGGGATATCGTCATGGGATAGTCATGGGATAGTTACATCAGCTTAATCTGTTTTTTTTTGTGTTTTCTTTTTGGGTATCAGGTATATATCTTCTGAATTATCTAGCATCAAATTCAAAATTCTAAAAACACAAGTGGGGTGTTTACCCCAATCATATGATGAGATACTGGGAATAAACAAATCCGGTGAATCTCCATCATGGATCATCATGGGATATACAACCAATTAATACAACCAACAGTTCATTTTTTTTTTTTAAATGCGGCTTTCTCTGATCATCAACTATAATCTGGGTCAATTATTGTTAATCACATATACTATATATCAAAATCAACTATATATATAATTAACAATTATCATTTGATTATACTATATATCAATTATTGTGATATCAACTATACTTTTGTTAATGATATCAAAATTATCAAATGATATTCCCAGAGATTCTTCACAAAAATTCCCTTATGAAAAACCAGGCCATCTCTCTGGGGACCTGGATGATCTGTAGTTAAATTTGCCAGGATTTTTTGAAACATGGGAAGAAAATTTCATGAATTGATGGATGAATTGATGAACCAGTGGATGACTTTTGGATGACTTTTGTGTTTTTGTTGAGTGTTGAAATTTCCGGAATATCTTCCAGGTACCCTACTTCCCCGTGGCTTCTGTGGATGACAAAACCCCTGCTTCACCGGCCTGGGCACTGAGGCTTCTATCATCATCCGTGCTGAAAAAGCGGAAGAGCGGCGGATGCGTCGTAGAACGTGAAAAATGTGGTGCAAGAATGGTTGATGAAAAAAATGTTACGAAACTAAAAAACGAACATAACATGCTTGATTGAACTAGTTATCTTAAATTATTGTTCACTTTCATGGTTGATCATGGTTAACTAGTTACACTCAGTAGTGAAACAAGAATTGATGATAGATACTCAGTGTTGTTATATCACTATCACTATCTGGCTGATGAAGAATAAAATAATAATGATTCATGGTTAATGAGCACAACTTGGTGCCTAATTCCTAATAAACACGACAAACATTAATAAACACAATAATCAGTGGATTGAAGGGAAAACCTACAGGAAACCTCCACTGACGCACCGACGAACATGATTTATATCATCTGACGGTTAATTGGCGAAATGCGAATTGGCTGGCGATGATATGATATCCCAGTATTATTGTTATGATATTCACCAAATGGGATAATGATATGATATGATATTATTGTTATGATATTCACCAAATGGCTATTGTAGTTATTGTTATGATATGTTATGATATTCCTATTTTTTCACCAAACTATGCTGCAGTCGCTCTTTTCTGCCATGCGGCCCTGCAAGAATCTTCGGCAAATGCCAATGGTGGATTGGCACGACGAAGGAATCGGCGTTCCACATGCGGAACTTTGTTGCATGCGACAGGACAGTTTGACTATTATAGATATTATTAATATACCTATAGATGGTTATCTATAGGATGTAGCTTGGTGTCTTGTTTGCCGGTGATGAATTTTTGGTGCATTCCCATGTTTCAAAAGCTGGATAATCAAACACTGTGTCAGTGGGTTTCAGCTGGTTTTCCCCGCAGTCACTCGTGGGGATTGGCCACCACAAAATCCAGAGCTATCCAGCATCCAGGGACAGCGGACATGTCCGAACCGATGTTCAACACTTATCCACCATGAGCATCAACAAAAGATAATAAAGGCATACTTCAAAATCAATCAAAAGAGTTCAAATCATCAACCATCATCCACAAAAAAAAGAAATCGCAGAATTCTTCTGGTAAAACGACATAGGTAACACTTATAGAATATTATAGTTTATACTACAGTACTACAGATATTATTATACACTATATTAGTATGTACAAATGTATATATATATACTGGTTGGTGGATTCAACCCCTCTTAAAAATGATGGAGTTCGTCAGTTGGGGTTACTATTCCCAACTGTTTCTGGAAAGTCTATCATAAAATTCCATGGTTCCAGTCACCACCAACATGGATTTTTCTATATTCGCTCCTGCCATGGATTTTTCTGGTGTCCTGGCGACCTTTCGGTCATGGCATGGCAGTGGCGACCTACTCAACGGCGGCAGTGGGAGCTATAGGACTTCTGAGCCAACTGGGCCAGCCGCCGTTGTCCTGGACCGTCCCCGTGGATCCATGGTGGTCCTATGGTCGGTGAGCTTTATTGGGGGTTGGTCAGACTTACTTGGGCTAAAACATAGAAAAAACTATGGAAAGATCCAGAAAATTACCATTTTTAATGGGTAAATCCACTATTTCGACTGGGCCATGTTCAATAGCTATGGTATTAAAATATGTTATTATATGTTATAATATGTTATAATGGTCATTGGTAAGGATAACTATTCGCAAGAATAACTTGGCCATTGGTAAGAATTACTTGGTTGGTTATAGATGGTTAAAAATGGTTATAGATGGCTACATAGTATATAATAACCATTTATCTTGTATATATATATATATATATATTATCTGGTTGGTGGTTGAGCCCTACCCCTCTGAAAAATGATGGAGTTCGTCAGTTGGGGTTACTATTCCCAACTGAATGGAAAGTCAATCCAAATTTCATGGTTCCAAACCACCAACCAGATGGTTATTATCAGGTTCATCCAGGTATTTTAAGCCCAAGATTACTTGAATGCTCACAATAATGGCCTAGGGCCTAGGATTTAACCATCATTACTTGGTATTTTAACCATCCGAAAAAGCTGGGGATATACTTGACATATACGGAAAACAAAGATGGTAATTTTACCGGTTTACCAGGAAAAAAAACAAAGTTTATGTAGATCGGATTTATATCCTCATCGAAAAAAGGAGGATGTAGCATCAGTCGTGCTTCTATCAACGGGATATCAACCATCAAAAACATGATATCGGCTTGATGGGCGATGGGCATCGATGACCTTTCCCACGGGATTCACAAACACCATGGGATCTTTTTCAGAATGGCTTCACAATGGATTCTATGGGGTTTTATAGTGGAAAAACATGGGTTAGACAGCCCCTCCAGCATTTCTTCATATCGATTTATGAATCGACAACTTTCAACATCTTGTGAAACACCATGTTTTTTGGCTTTTTGATGATCCAAATGGGGACGAAGAATGGTGTGTCACCATGCATAACATGATGTTTTCTTTTTTTGAAAAAAAGGCTATCCTGGATCTTAATAAACATCAGAAACAACTTCATCTCAATGACATCGAATGAATCCATGGGCCTTTGTCTGTTTTTTTTTTGAAACAAACACATACACCAAACAATTGTCAGAGAAATGGCCTTCACAAAATCTCTTCAGGGATATCCAAGCCATTCTTGGACAAAGCCAGAGATTGATCACTTTTACACGAATTTGAGAGGCTGTACTGAAAGAATATGGCATAGGCATAGACTGACTGAAAACATCTGATAACTCCTCACTTAAAGCTAAGGAGCACATGTTAGCCGCTTTTTCTTTTCAGATTTCGACGGATTCGTTGGAATATCTGGATGTCCAATGAGCTTTCAGGATCTACCCTCTGGTAAACATACAAAAAACGAACTGGAAAGATCCACCATTGTGGATGGGTAAATCATGGTAAATCCACTATTTCAATGGCCATTTTCCAGTTCGATTTTTGTATGTTTACCAGGCCGGGTAAAAATATGGGACATTTTATGGGACCCATTGGATACCCGTGGTTTTTCAGCCAGCGGCTGTCCTTCATCTGCTTTTCTCGCATGTGCATTTCTCGCGGCGTCTCAGAGGCTGACCTGAAGATAAACTTGCCATTGCCATGGTGGTTTCATGTGGATGGTATTTTCAACAGTATATAGGGTAGATGATGGTAGATGTCGTTTTTTCAACAGTTTTTGTAGGGTATTTTCAACAGTATTAATAGGGTATTTATAGTATATAGGTAGTTTTATCCTTTCATATGGGACTTGATGTTGATGGTACATGTTGAAACTGAAAGGATCAACATGGATCAATAAGTCAAGCGTTTGGTGGTTAGATCCACATCTTTGTGATTAGATCCAACTTTTTGAGAATCCAGTAAGCCATTAGTTCCAACATCAAATCCCACAGTTTTGGCTAGTAAAAATGGGTGAAACTGGTAAGCAAACCCACCATTTTAACCCCAATCATTGGTGGAAAAAACCCTCCAGCAAATTAACAGTCCGACCCTGCCAGTTGTCGGGGTTGGAAGACTAGTTTCCACATGTTTCCACTATAAATTGGTCATTTTCAGGGTCCAACTGTGAATTTACCAGAGGGTAATATGGGTATGGATCAATACCTATTAATACCATTTTTAGGGGGATGAACATCCATTTACCAGCTATTTTGATGTTCACCAGGGGTACAAGGTTTTGACACACTGCCATATGTTTTAACCTCACCTTTTCCACCCGCCTCATGAGTAGTGCGGCGACTCCTTCGATAATCGCCAAAAGAACGCCGCCTCGAGACATTCTGAACAGTGACCTGTTGGGGATTTCACCAACATGGGGATTTTTGATGTGTCATATATATATATATGATATATTACATACCCTTGTATATGTATATGTATATGTATATTATATATGTATGTATGCAATGCAATGCAATGCAATGCAATGCAATGCAATGCAATGCAATGCAATGCAATGCAATGTAATGTAATGTAATGTATGTATGTAGGGGAATATTGTACATAGATGTACATAGTTGCGAATATTATAAGAAACTGCATGTGTTTTACCAAGTGTTTTTGGTGACTTCACCAACATGGCGATCATGGACCTGAGAAATCTGAGAATACTCAGCCGCTCAGCCAAATGACACAGGGTTTTGAACCACCATGTATTGGGGATTCATGATTGAGTTTGGTGATAAAAGCTGTTTGAATTTTGACTAGTGTATAGCCGTACTATTATCAAAACTCTGTCCCATTTGTTGCAAAAAATACAACGGGCCTCTTGAAACAATAGCGTTTTGACATATATCTGCCAATGATTCCAATGATGCTGGATGTCTGTGAAACATTGACCAATGTACTATGGGATGGTATGAGGCTTTTCACCACTATACTGGGGATAGTTTGGGATATAATTACATGATAGAACATGACATATACCATGACATATACCATGACATATACCATGACATATACCACTATATGTTTGGTATATAACATGACAATTACATGATATAACTAACATGATACGACCACGATATTGGCGAGCCAGTTTCTGGAATCCGGCGGTCGCTGTTAGGCGCACCAATCACAGCGTTGCGCGAAGCGGCTTTCCAACCACCTCTGGCGGCGAGTACCTGAGCTGAAGAAATCAATTGGGTCAACAATGGGTCAACAATGGCTCAGTATATGTGTCCAGCTGTTGAAAATCACCATATTTAATGGTTATATCATATATAAATGACAATTTTCCATAGCAAACTGTTAGTTTACCAGAGGGTAACCCGTTTTTGTTGCAAACTTGGTGTAGCTTTACTATCGATACCTATCGATATCGATACATCAACAGTTCATCGCCAGAAACCATCAGCGCACGCCACCGGTGAGGAAACCTGATGCAATGGCATTCCAGTGGTCATCTTGCCTCGCTGGAGAAATGCCATGGAGATTGGAGACTTTTGGGATATCAACATGGTATCCTTCCATTTTTCAATGGCCATTTCAGGTACCGATTGATTGGAGGTACCTACCATATATAAGGCCTATTGTTCAGGCCTATGTAAGGGAATTTCCCATTGAATTTTGAGATATTGTGAGACCAATATTTTGAGACCAACATGGTTATTTTGTTGCGATGTGAGATTGCTAGAGGTTTAGAGCTCAATTAATTGCTGAAAAATATTGGTCGTTTGTTGATCCATGCCACCATGCTGCAGGGGTGTTAGTGGAGTACATGGTAAACATTGGTCAACCTCATCTCATCCCCGAAAAGGCCTAAAAAAAACACAGCATACGGCTACAATCCATCATAATCCATCTACTTGTGAACACTTGGGGTAGAATAAATACATGTAAAACCCTGTAAAATTGACCAATTTCCTCTCCTTGTGGTTACCGTTGAGCTCCAATGGCTCCACAGTACCGTGCCTCCGGATGTACTGCAGAGAGCAATCAAAACAGGAGAAGGTGCCACCCTGACACGATCAGAGTTGCATGTCTATGCCACGCAGAGATGTAAACCTGGATAGATGGATATACAGTTGGATAAGGTTGGATGATGATGGATTGCCGCCAAACTTAACGTGTTCAGGTGAATGAAAACGGGACCAAATTCACTGTGCACACTGTGCAAGTCCGAAAAATATGGGTCGGATGGCTACGCCGCTGCGTGGACCCCCTAAGGGTCTGGCCCAAACTGCGAAGTTCCCTCCCAAAATAGGAGCCCTGCAGGGAGGCACAACTCAGCAACTCTTCAAATGTGACAATATGTGACAATGTGTATTGGAATCTTTGGGATATGATTTCAACATATTTCAAACCTTGGATTCCTCAAAGGATTCCTCAAACCTTGTATTTCTCACGGTGCTTCAAAGCTACTCAGTGATCGAGATCAATGGCCCAGGTCCATCCCATTGAAGCCATGGCCCATGGCCCATGGCCTGCTTCTTGCGCTGTACAAAGCGCCTTGTAGCCTCAACGAACGGCCCCCTTAGGGTCTCCCACTACTGATCAATTTAAGCCCCCGAAAAAGGTCATGCTGAAGGAAATAGGAGGAAGCCGACTTTTTTCTAGTCGTGGGGAATCCGCTGGTGTTAAGTGTTTCCCATACTTGTCAGGTTGAAAGCTTCATTCCCAAAGTTTGGGCCCCGGTGGTTCCGGGTTCACCCCATGGGTTCAGCAACAGTCCTTCCAAAACCGGATCGAAAAACATCTGTAGCAATGATCTTCACTATCCACTGGCAATGTGAGTCGGCAGATATAACTATGATTATATAATTATTCTCTATATATATATATACGTATATATATACATATATATATATGCTATATGTGATATAACCCAATTTATCAGCAATATCAGCAAGCTACAAATCGTGTACTAACTTCCAGGATCATTAATCACCACCAGATTGATGCTGAACGCTGATCTGTCGTCCCATCCATCCCGCACACCTGTCCCCTTGTGGGGAATTCCGCGCTCCCCTTCCGAAGTGCCACAAAAAGCCTGTCTCAGCAGGGTGAATCGTTCGGTTTCCCTCCTGAAGTTTCAGTGGTCAATTTGAGATCATTGAAGTTTCAGAACGATATTTAATAATATTTAATGGTGATTTCATGGTGATTTATATTAAATACTCTTGATACTTTGCAGGATTTGCAGGTACCAACATCTTCCGAAGATTTTTCAAAGATCAAGTACCATTCCAGCTTCAAATGCCAAAAAAATCTCGCCCTCTCTGCTGGATCTTCTGAATTCCACGTGAATTCCACGACTGGATCATCAGCGTTTTTCTGCGGTATGATCATGTTCTAAGCAGTGTGAACTCTTTGGGGAGGCTGTCCGACTACTCATCATCTTCTATGGTGATAGGGCTCGTTGGGTTGATTGATAGGGCCAGCAATTTCCAACTCCTTATAAGGCGCTGCAAAAAAATGATTCTTAGCTACTCATTTCCCAGTCATCATACCAGCTCCAAGATGGGGTCATGGTTGTCATTAGTAACCATCACCATTAACACCACTAACAATGATAAGCATTTGAGTTTGGTTACCATTTTACCATACCCACATGGTTATTTTTCATGCTTGTCATGAAAATGGGATCTTTGACCAATCACCACTTCCTCCCGTTGACATCATTTTCCAACCCGCCTCCAACCGCGCCCATGCCAAATGCGCCACCCAAGTCCTGATGTTGAGCAAACAATGCTGGAAATGGTGATGATTTCAGTAGCAGTGGAATTATCCAGCAATGGAATCATGGGAAACATCCAGAAATGGGAAGTGAAAGCCGTCATGGGAAGGACTTGGCCAAAAACCCTACAGTATAGGTCTTGTGAGAATTCACCCAGATTGCCAGCTTTTTTGGCCATGGCTGTATATTAATCAACCACTCTCCTCAGTTGGGTTGGATGTACAACATCCAGTCACTTGGGAATAGACATGAAATCACATGAACAATGGTTAAATCATTGTTAAATCCAGTTGTTTTAATCTTTATGGAAATCATGGATGGTTAAATACATGGATGGAAATCATTTAACCAATGTTAAATCAAAAGGTGGTATTCATCCATTCCAATCATTCCACCTTTTTCATGGATCCAAATCTCTATTTTTGTTGGATCAGGATCCCAACAATTTTTGCTGAAGTCCTGATGGTTCATGCTGATTTTTCGCCTATTTATTTTCGCTGTGTCAATTATTCGTATGTTTGCAAAAAATCACCGGGTGCATAAAAAAATTATTGAATTTCAACATGACACACATCATTTTCAGCTTTGATATAAACCATCAACCTGATCTGATATAAATCTAGATTTCAAACATATAAATCAAAATGGCACAAATCAACCATAATTTTTCCAAAATGTTTTTGATTTCACCTTTAAAATCATGAGGTCTAATTTCTACAAAACTCAAGGTATGTGTCCTTCAATGGGTCAGCAATCTGCGAGGTTCCATAAATATGGCTACCCCAAACCATTGGTTTTCCCAGTGATAATACCTGGGATGATTTTGGGGTATCCCTACTTTAAGAATCCCCCCATATAGTTACCCTCTGGTAAACAAACATAGCTATTGAAAATGGCCATTTATAGTTGATTTACCCATTAAAAATGGTGATTTTCCATATTTTTTGTATGTTTACCACAGGGTACCATCTGGTTATTTAACATAGCCATGGAAAATTCCTTATAAATAGAGGTTTTAATGGGAAAATCATCTATTTCTATGGGCCATTTTCCATGGCTATGTCAAATAACCAGAGTGTAGTTCTTAATGGATGATTATGATTATTCCCAATATATGGAAAATAAAACATGTTCCAAACCACCAACCAGTAGTTAGTTCTTAATGGTTCTTCATGGCTATTGATCTGGGTAAATTAATTATTTCACTAACCTGAATTGTTGGGCCATTTGGGGATGATTTCCCTACCATAAACCATGTTTCAGGCTCGGTCGCAGTGAGGTCGTGATCAAATTTACCCAGATATATTATCATTTCCATATATTAACCATATATTAACCATATATTAACCATATATTAACCATATATTAACCAGTGGTTCATTTCTATAATTTACCCAGATTAATGGTTAAAATCCATGGTCAAATCCAAAAAATCGCACCTCGATGATTCGATCAGGGCATGGCTCTCGGGTAGTATCTCGGTCGCCTTATCGAGTACCGTTCGGTTGAACGGAACGGCTTTCCCACCCCGAGTGGAGGGAATCACTTGGAATTCTTCAAATATAATTTACATATATATATACACCATCTGGTAATTTAACAGTTTGCTATTGAAATATAATATAATATCATATCATATCATATGAATATGATATGATATGATATGATATAATATAACATACATACATACATACATTACATTACATTACATTACATTACATTACATTACATTACATACATACATACATACATACATTACATACATACATACATTACATACATAAATTACATTACATTACATTACATTACATTACATTACATTACATTACATTACATACATACATACATTACATTAATACATACATACATACATACATACATACATACATACATACATACATACATTATACATACATACATACATACATACATACATTACATTACATTACATTACATACATTACATTACATACATTACATTACATACATTACATTACATACATACATACATACAAACATAACATAACATAACATAACATAACATTACATTACATTGCATTGCATTGCATTACATTACATTACATACATACATACATACATATAGTATGATGGTAAAATTGCAAAAGTTGGGGATGGTTATGATTTTTGAATCTGAATTCCTTAGAGTTGGTAATTACCTTGTCATGGTCGTTATATGAGTTATATCATCTTATGTCTTATATCTCATGTTTTGTACTATGCCGACAATTACATCCTCATTGTATAGTGTCATTAGCGATTTTTATCTGGATAAAATTATCTGGTTGGTGGTATACCTACCCCTTTGAAAATTTAAAGTCAGTTGGGATGATGACATTCCCAATATACATGTATATATATATATATATGCATATATATACATACATATGAAGAATATGGAAGTCAGTTGGGATGATGACATTCCCGATATATATATATATATATATGTGTATATGTATATATGGAAAGTCATAAAATTAATGTTCCAAACCACCAATCAGTTAGTGTCAGGATGCTAACGCCAAAGATTTGAACAAAACAACCGTGGCCTGTTTCGAAACGACCCATGGCGCGGTCGCCGGCGAAGGGTTTTTTTCCGTCGCCGTGCTCCCGGTTCCCAGTTTGAGCTGTGGCGGTTGGTGGTTGCATCTCACATCATGCCCGATTAATGGTGGTTAATGGTGGTTAATGGTGGTTAATGGTGATTTCAGCAGTCAGCATCCGAGTTTTTTCGGAACATCAAGAAATGATGCAAGTCACTGGAGTTCTCTGAAAAACGTTTTAGGATTGAAACACTGGAAAAGTGCTTAAAACCACCAATGAGTGGGACATGTTTGAGGGTTCAAGCACGAAAAACACTGGAAGCCTGCTCATCTTGCGGGGACTACTTTTGGATATGGCTGATATGGCGGTCCTGCACTTCAAAAAAAATAATCAGAACCATTGATACCTAAACAACATCCGTGATGTTGGAGACAAAATGTGATTAAATCTCTTAAACCAAAGTCTTTCACGCCACTGCCACTCGGGAACAAAATGAACTATGAAACATACTGAGTTTTTCTTGCCAATCCGGTCATACTGGTTGGTTGATAGCTATCCGGTCAATGGGTTGGCTTAGAATTTTCCACCCAATCAACCAGCTAGGGTCCGACAACCCCAAATATTGACCAACATGAAGCAACCAACCAACATTTCTGGATTTTGATGATATATCCTAAGTTGAAACCATGTCATACGAGTCATACCCCATTGTTGATGGTTGAATTCTTTGTTAATTGACATAATCAACAAGGGTAGATATCCACTCCCTCAACCGCCGCCCCCATCTCCAGATCTTTGTCGCGACTGTCTCGGCACGACTCAGTCGTTGTCTTCCACGTCGGCCTGTGGATTCGCCAGGTGCTTCAATGCACGAGTAATTCAGACCTCATACGATCGAAAACGGCCTTCAAATCGGGGATCCCTAACCATTGGTCGAAAAATACTGTCATGGTCTAATGGTTCTAGTTCTAATTGGATGGATGATTCGGGGCTATCCCCATTGAGGGAGCACCAAAGGTCCATTTTTTCCGTGGAGCACCAGTGGATGCACCAGCGCATTGAGCGGCGAAGCTCGAAGCTCCAAGGTGCCCAGATGCTGGTTTCCCGTGATTATCAAATTATATGTACTTATATAGTACAATTATATAATAAATATATATATACATTATACATACATATAGAATCATATATAGATATAGAACATCAATGAATATCATAAAATCATATAGATACTCCTCGACGCGCTATGTATACTTTCCATGAACCGCTTGGTTGTCATTTTGATATCAGAACTGGACCCACAACGTCTCCCTCGACACCTCTCCCTCGACGTCATCCTTGGAGTCCGTCTCCTGAAGCTTCACTCAACCCCGTTTAATGGGCTTCACCGGTATTTTGCCATTTCGAAATGGTGATGATGGTGATGCACTGTCGGACACCCGAAGCCTTCAAAATCCGGAGATTTTTCAGGGCTCCTTATGCTTGCCGAATATTCAGCAAGGCTACACTCACTGTGAATCACCGGTTGAACGTGCCGAACTCCCAATCCCATGGTCCCAAAGTGTCGGCATTGTGGACAATTTCCGCCCGTAAATTTGCCATTGTTTATTGGAATCACAAATACCCGGCCTGGTAAAGATACAAAAAACTATGGAACATCACCATGCTATGGGAAAATCAACTATTTCGATTAGGGCCATGGCTTCCAGTTCGCTGTTAAATTACCAGAGGGTAAGTTTATTGGAATTACAATCCAAAAACAAACCATTATCTTGTCAGTCCCATTCCGGCATGGGCATGAATCTATGGACCGAAGCTTTTCGGTGGATGATCGCAACCAAAATTGAGTCCCCACCAGGATATGAATCTGCAGCGCTCGTGGAGAATATTCCAACCATTCCCAACCTATATCTCTTTGTGTATGCATATATAATATATATATATATATATATGTATAATATATATATAATATAATATATATATATTATATATAAATATATATATAATATATATATAATATATAATATATATAATATATATAATATATATAATATATATAATATATATAATATATATAATATATATAATATATATAATATATATAATATATATAATATATATAATATATATAATATATAATATATATAATATATATAATATATATAATATATATATCTTTCAATTGCCAACATTAACAGTCCCATATCCAGTCCAATATCTGGTGATTCTCCAGGAATCCATCGAGGAATCCAATGAATGTTTACTGCAACAGTCCCCATCTTCACCACCAGTTTCCTTGGCAGCCAACATCTCTTGCACTGTGGGTTGCCCAGCAAGGTCCTGAAAATTTTGCGATCGAATTCAACGCCGAGAAAAAACGATCGAAGTTCAAGGGATAGAAAACTGGCCATTTTCTATAGGAAAAATCATGGTTTCCATAACTGGGGTACCCCGCTGGATGGTCCATGGTACACCGTTGGATTTGGGTGCTCCAAATCCACCCAAATTTGGGACAATGTGACATGGGATGTGATGGAGAAACATGTGAGAACACTAGCCATGCTGCTATTCTACTGGTGTGAAGATGGGAAGATGATATTCACTGAACAAAATACAGGCGATTTGAGGGAATCTTTCAAGAACCTCGATTGGAGGTACTTAACCTAAGTAAGGCCTGTGTCAGGCCTGAATTTCAGGGAATGCCCCTGTCCCTCAGTTTTGGAACATCACTTAAAGACTTAGGCCACTCCACCATGCATGATTTTACACGTGAGTTGGCAATTTAAAAAACATCACCAAAAAAACGACCTGTCAACTTCTAAATTCCGAACTTGCACTGAAACAGACACAGTTGTCATAAATCTTCCTACTGTTCCCTTTTTGTGGTTCAATCAATTCAGCACTTTCCCAGTCTTCATAATCTTTCCCATGTTTCCTGCGGTTAGACCCTCTGGTAAACTAGCACAGCTGTGGAAAACCATCAATTCTAATAGGTAAATCAACTATAAATCGTCATGTTTCTCTCTCGTTTTTTCTATGTTTCCCAAATTTGGGCTTATAAATCCTATAAATTCACCATTTTCCCACGTGTTTTTCATGTTTTTCCATCATTTTCCATCATTTTTCTATCATGTTCCATCATTTATCCCACGTTTTCCCACGGTTTTCCATCATTTTTCCCACGTTTTTTCAGGTTTCCCCAGCCATAAAATCCACATCCCGAGCATCCCTCGTCCTCCAAGAGACTCGCCGCCTCCTGGGGCCGCAGCTGGAGCTCTAAGGCACCCTCCGAGACATTGGCCACCACGGCATAGGGCACCTTTTCCTGTGGCTGATGGACTATGATGATATATATATATATAGACCATATATAGATTGACGTCCTCTCGGGGAACCTCCTCCCCCTGCATATATATGATATATCATATATAGACCATATATAGATCATATTATGGTGAAAATTATGGTTAGTAAATACCAATTAATATGGTTAGTAAATACCCTATCTAATATGATGATATATAGATCATATATAGATCATGATGATATATATATATAGACCATATATAGATATATATATATATCTATGATGATGGTCGGACTATGATGATATTTAATAAGGATCATTTTTGTGAGAATCATTTACTATTGGTTATAGTTACTATGCATATCTTTTCATTATTTCAGAGGGGTAGGTATACCACCAACCAGATAGTTATATAGACCATATATATATATATCATGTTTTTTTAATCATATTAGATAGGGAATATCATATGATATATGAATCTATATGATATATAAATGATATTATATATATATGATATATCATATATAGACCATATATAGATCATATTATGGTGAAAATTATGGTTAGTAAATACCAATTTATATGGTTAGTAAATACCCTATCTAATATGATGATATGGGAATGGGTCAAAATTGAAGACCTGGGGGACCACAGATTTTAGTCTATTCTTAGTATTAACCATCTAACTATGATGATATATAGATCATATATAGATCATTTTACGATATTTCATGAAAAAATGGTCTATATTCCTATATGATTGATTATATGATATTCCCTATCTAATATAATAATATAGATCATATTAGGTAGGGAATAGTGTTTTATGATGATAATAATGATAGTAATAATAGTAATATGATCAATATAGGGAGAAATAGATTGGGAAATATCATAGTAGATAAATAGTAGGGAATATATATCGGGGAAATAGAAAAAATGATACTTTTTCTGGGAATATTTAAAATCATATAACTAATAGTGTTCTACCTGATAGACAAAAGTAGACAGGGAATATCATAGTAGATAGGGAATAGTATTTATAAAATCATATATCATCCTATACTATGATCATAGTAGATAGGGAATGTCATATTTTCGCTTTTCCAATATTAGATATTAGATAGGGAATAGTGTTTAATAATTATAATAGTAATAATATATAGATAATATTCCACCATTCCACCATTCCACCAGTTAGTATACCCGTATCTATAATAAATGCAATGCTAGATAGGGAATACTGTTTGAGTTTTAATGGTAATATATGGCAGTATTCCTATGCATATTTACTGTCAGTATGATGATTGGAAGTACAGTACTTCCATTATCGTTCCATTCCTGTAAGTTTAATGGGAATATCTATGGGAATAGTATGATAGTGATGGACTAGATATTATGGGACTATGAATGCGATGATGAATAATATCTATGGAATAATGATGAATGCAACAATATACATGGGAATATCTATGGGAATTTCCTGCGTTTCCCGAGGTACTGATCAAACTCACCCAAATACATTCACCACATCACAAATGGTTAAATATCCACATTGATACCATCATTATCCCTCACTAATATCCCATGAAATCCTCATGAACTGTGTAGATTGATGCTGCAGGCTGGGAGTTGCGAACTCGCGGCATGTCTCCGCACAGGACTTCTATGTACAAATTGATGTCTTAATATGTCCAAAGCCGGATTGTTGGCGGACCTAGATCATCTAAATGATTTCATGCTTGCGCAATGACTATTTCTGCCACTTTGAACCAATGAAATCTCGTCGTTTCCGATTCAATTGTAGGTAAATTAGGTGAACATCCATCTTAGTCCAGGGTTTTCACACAAAAAAAATGACCGTGTCTGAAAATGGGATATAACCCCCAAATGGTTAGATTACTGGGGAAAAATGGAAAAATGATTATTCACTATTAGGTTCTGGAGTACCTCATTTTCAGACAAAACCATATTTCTGGGAAGATCCATTGTAATAATCCCATTAAAATCCCATCATATCCATTTATCCCATTATAGTTTAGTATATAATTAATATAATCCATTAATCTCCATTATAATAATCCCATCATATCCATTAATCCATTATATAATGTCAATATTAATCATATAATACTACAATATAGTATTAATCCATATATCTATTACAATATTCCTGGGTATCACGTCAAATGTCCATGAATTCCCACTAAATCCCCATCTCCCAGTGAATGTTATGGGACATCCACAACATAAATGAAGGTTTTGTATATATATATATATCGAATATCAATTGCAAATGTTACAAACTCTATGAACTATAGTTATAATTCCCATAAACCCTACTAATCATGTACCCTCTGGTTCTTTAACATAGTTATGGAAAATGACCCATTTATAGATGATTGATGATTTACCTTCAGTAAACTAACTTAGCTATGGAAAATGGCCCATTTATAGTGGATTTACCATGATTTTACCATGTATTCACCCTATATTCATCTATAAATTCACTCATTTATAGTGGATTTACCATAGTGATATACATATATATATATATATGTATATATATATATATAGGATTATATAGTAATATATATCCCAATAACTAGTGGATTTACCTCTTAAAAGTGGTGATTTCCCCCCGTTTTGAGGTGCCAAAAAAACAACGGTGCACCCACCCACATGGCGCCTCGTCAGGACCGCTCCGCAGGGTCAAGGCGATGGAGCCGGGTCTCAAGGCATCGCCATCCAGCAAGGCCTGCTACGCTGTGCTCGGTAAAAACACCAGGATTTTCGCAGAAAAAAAAAAACGGAAATCCCCCAGTGAATCATATTGACCAATGGGGATAATTAATTACCAGCAATATGATTGATGATTGGGGATCAATTGGTAAATTATTGATGGGGATTATTAGTTCAGAAATGATCAGCAATTAATTATGATGAATTATGATGAAAATTGGGGATTTTGATACTCCAGAATTATTCCATATCCCAGTGATACCCTCTGGTAAATTCACAGTTGGACCCTGAAAACAACCAATTTTTAGTGGAAACTAATCTTTCAAGCCCGACAACTGGCAGGGTCTATGTGAAATTACTGGAGAGTAAATTTTGGGGTATCCCTATTGAAAAAGAACCCCCCCCATATAGTTTGTTCTTAATCTGGTTGGTGGTTGAGCCCTACCCCTCTGAAAAATGATGGACTGAAAGTCAGTTGGGATGTTTCTGGAAAAATCAAACTTGTTCCAAACCACTAACCAGAAATTCCTGGGAACATTCGTTAGAAAATGATGGAAAACCCATGGGAAAAACAGCGGGAAAATGATGGAAAATCACAGGGGAAATCTTGGGGAAATCATGCAAAAAATGATGGAAAACCCGCGTTTAAGGGGAAAAAAGACTGGAAACTGACATAGATATCCTATTTATGTATGTAATGAAAATCATCACCCACTTAGTGGATAGGTATTTCCAATGTGGGTTTGCCACAATCATAAACCGTCATAAACCATCCTCCCAGTCATCACCATAAATATCATCAATACGTAGTATCTTTACCATTCCCAGTCATAGGTGGTAAAAATGACATTGTTTTACCCACATGATATTCTCATATCATCCATCGGCAACCATTAGCAACCATCAGCTTATTGGATGAGATAATCATAGATCATCCATGACAAAAAAAAGTGGATCATTCCACTAGCTTCCAAAACACTTCAATCCCAGTATATTCCACATTATATATATTGTGGTTTTTGATTGTTTTACCCAAATGATATTAGAATTCTTATCATGAGGAAAAGGATTACCCGCTTATGATATTAGAATTCTTTTTCCCCTACGGTTTTAACCATAACTGGTTGGTGGTTTCAACCCCTCTGAAAAATGATGGACTTCGTCAGTTGGGATGATTATTCCATTCCCAACCGTTTCTGGAAAGTCACAAAAATGTTCCAAACCAATGACCAGATAAAGAAATTGGTTTTCTTAGAATTGCTTTTAGAATTGCTTTTCTTCTTTTTCTATGGTTAAAAAGCCATAGTTTTAACCATAAAGAGGTGGTATAAAATGGTATAAACCATGAAATTCTCCCCTTTTTTCCCTGGTTTTTTCCATCTGATGGCACCTCCAGGCCGTTCACCTCTCCCTCCGCCGCCGCAGAGCGCACCTGCGTTTGACGCGAAGGCGTTGAACGATTTGGGATTTTATCCATTTCAGAAATGGAGGATAAAATATCCATTAGCTTGGAACAATAATGTGGAAAACCTGGCTGAAATTGATTTTAAAAAAAATGTCAGACATACAAAAAGATGTGGAAAACCTGGCTGGTTTCTCCTCCAGAAAATGATCTTCAAATGGTGGCCACAGGAGGGTAACTCAGCAAGCCACTAAATCTGTAATAGCCAAGAGCCAATACAAAGAGAGATCTAGATGAACTAAGGACATTTTAATGAGCTGCCACCAAGAAATAAAAACATACACGCATGTGGATATGAGGTGCAATCAAGCAAATGAAAGTCTGAACAACGACAACGGAGACGTTTGACCAATCGATAGATAAATATGGACCACAAGTTTGTAGCTAATCGATGTTTTCAGAAATCTTTTCTCTAAGATATAGATCCATATCATACTAGTAAAATATATCCTATCATATCCCCATGATACCACCATTGTTAATTTCAAAATGGTTGGTTTCTATCCAGGTCACCGTGGCACCTCTGGGATTGTCAGTTCCTTCTCAGCCAGCAACTTCCGCAGGAAAGATCTCAGGCGAGGGGGGGATCTCCAGCACAGGCTTTTAAGTGCCCGGGTTTACCTGGAAAAAAAGGGGTTATCTAGGAAAAAACAATGGTTTTCCACATCTTTTAAAGTATGTTTATTTTTAAAAAAAACATCGTTTTATATCTAGGAATCGACCGGGTCATGGATATAAATGATTGTAAATTGTGGATTATTTGGTATTCAATTGGACATGGATAATGGACCTAGTAAAAGGATGTAAAAGGTGGGCCCTGCCATAGCAAGCAAACTCACCTGCCCTGGTCTCCCATGATTTCTTGTCAATTCTATTGATTACAGTAATTCCTAGCTTATATACTTGTATATTACTTGTATATATATATAATCATATATATATAATCATATATATAATCATATATATATACAATCATATATATATGTATATATCATTATATATAATCATATATATACATAATATATAATCAATTGTCCATGTTGGGCAGTTGAATTCACAGTTCTCCTGTTTCAATGTGTTTCAGTGAGTCCGGTGTAATTATCTCCCAAAGGCATCCAAAGGCTACATTGAATCCACTTGTCTTACTGCGTTGTCAATTACCTACCATTGACGGTTACATAGATCACTTTTTATTTTCTCCAGTCATATCCTGGTTGGTGGTTGACCTACCCCTCCAAAAAATATGCTCGTGCTCATTGGGATTATGACATTCCCAACTGTTTCTGGAAAGTCATAAAATTCCATGGTTCCAAACCACCAACCAGTATCCATCAGTATCCCATATCGAATTCTTGCTAGCCAATACGCCAGCAAACATCTTGGTAAATCCCGTGTGTTGTGATTTATACACACATCCGAAATGTGGGGTACATCCGAAATTTGGGTGTTAGCATGCAACAAACCCAATTGCATTGGTCAATATCCAAACTTCTAACATCGTTTCACATCCAAACTTCTAGAGAACCACAACATAAATAGATGCTGATAAAATCACTTTTGGGATAAAACCATACTAAATTCACATTTGTTGAGTTTATTGGTGTTCATCCAAAAATTGATGTTATCAGCATCTATTTATGTTAGAACCTCTAGAAGCTTCAGCCACCAATCTTTATGGCCAAGATCACCCGCGCCTGCTGCATGTCAGCTGTCGTTTCAGCGCCTGACTGAGCTGGGCGGCACCTTCCTGAGCCTCAGAATGTTCGCATCGATTCTGAGCTCCGATTCTGAGCACCGATTCTGTTTATGGTTAAAGATGGATAAAAGATGGATAAAAGATGGATAATGATGGATAATGATTAGTTAATGACAATTATATATATATATATAGTGACTATATATATATAGTGACTATATATATATGACCATATTGTGGGTGCTAATATTATGGTTAACCGGATTCATATCATTGATATTCTTCGATTATTATACCCCTTAATGATGGTTTATTACTATTTTTTGGCTAGCTCAATATGGGAACAACAATCTTTTCATGATGATTGACGGAATGATTAATAACCAATTGATGATCAATATCCCGTAGAATAGCCAAATCATGTAATCGCCAACCATGACTGGTTGGTGGTGCAATAACCATCTTGAAAAATGATGGAGTTCGTCAATGGGTTTCGGATGACATCCCATATATCTGGGTAAATTATAATAATTCACTAACCTGAATTAAGGCCATTTGGGGATGATTCCTCTTATTAACCATGATTCCAGTGAGGTCGCAGTGAGGTCGTTATAATTTACCCAGATATATGAAATGGAAAGAAAAAAAAAACATGTTCCAAAGCACCAACCAGATGAATGTTGTGATGTGCATTCTGAAGAGACCCTGCTGTTTTTTTCGATGTTTTTTTTCGATTCGCTGGATGTTGAGTATCAGAGTATCAAAGGTTGAACCTTTGAACACCGCAAAAAAAAATGTGTAATGCTTACGACATGTTTAACCATAATTGTGTTGTATTCCAACCAGTGTAGAATTTGTATTTTTTTTGATTATGATTACAAGCTCCGAATTACAAGTGTTCCAATTGGGTATAGTACTATCATTGCAGTTTCAATATTGTGATGTTTAAATTTCAAAGGATCCTTGCAAAGGGTCCAGTTCTACCGATGATGCATTTGTAGAATCTGTGAGACAAAGACAAGCGGATGCAGGTCTATATATCATACGCAATGTCTTCTTGATGATAAACGGGTTCTACAACAGCAATAGCCTCATCGAACAAAACCCCAGCGAAAGTTAGCACTGAACCTCGAACATTTGGTATAAAACATTCTACAAACATTAAAATAGAATAATCTGTCCGGCAACTCACAACAAGATACAGGACCCCCAAAAAGTAAGCCGCTTTCACTGGTTTCAAGGCTTTTGACACTATGAAAGCACCTTCTGACCCAGGGTGCACACCAATTGCCAAGGGCAAGCACGTTCATGGTGCGCCCCTGTCCTGCCGAGTCGATATTCATCGTTTCGTCATGGAACTGAGTGGTACCCTCTGGTAATGACTATGTTACAATGGTTAATGATGGTTAATGGGGATATCAATGGTTAATGATGGTTACCCTCTGGTAATTTGTTACAGTTTGCGAACTGGAAAATGGCCATTGAAATTGTGGATTTACCCATTGAAAATGGTGGATCGTTCCATCGTTTTTTGTATGTTTACCAGAGGGTACATATTGATACATGGAAAGTCCAAATCTTAGTCGAAACTTTGAAGCGTTTCCACGAATCACTCGGACACTAGGATTCGGCATTTCGCCACTGGAAAATAGCTATGAACATATCACTTAGATGCCCAAATTGAAAACAGCGATCAAACTCAAAAACTTCCAAAAACAATTCTCATCCCTAGATGGAACAGTAAATCATCATAATCATCCCTTTTTTTGGATGATGAAATCTGAATCCCAACATCAAAACTTTTCCGAATTTCCACCGGTTTCAAGGCGTCCCCTTTGATTTCCATCGCCGCACTTCGTTCTCCTCTGAAAGGCTGCAACGCCACACATCACCTGACGGCGAAGAATGTTTGGGTTCCGCGGAGTTTTTTGTGGTACCAATAGCTGGATTTTTTTTTCTAATTGATATTGATACCACAATAATGATGGGTTAATGATCAAAATCTATTGTGATACCCATCAAATCTATCAAAATGGGTTTTGATGGGTTAATGATGGGGTACCTATCAAAATATGGTTTGATGGGATCAATTAGAAAAATCTATTTAATTAACCACCATTCCACAACCTGATGGGTTAAATATCTATGGTTAATGATGGTTAATGATTGTTAATGATGGTTAATTTCATGATCAATATTATATACACAATAATTATGGGGGTTTACATAAATGGGGGATACCCCAAAATGGTTGGTTTATAATGGAAAAACCCATCAATAAATGAATGATGACTGGGGGTAGCCCTATTTCAGGAAACCTCCATATTATCATGGAATGTATAGCCAACTATAATCAAAAAACTGAAACTTGTCCATTTATGTTTTTTTTTACATATCGGAAAATATGGGATGTTAACGGGATGCATTTTCATCGGATGTATAGCCAACTACAATCGAAAGTTGGAGTATTTAACGGGATAATCTATGGGGATATGATGGATTATCTATAGATTTAATATTGTCCATTATAAAGTATTTAATGGATATCTATAAATTCAATGGGACATTGCCGGGACATTTCTGAAACTATGAATTTATAGAAAAAAATCACGTCGGGGCTGCCGGGATGGGTGATATGGCTGACTTATCCATCTCTGGCTACCTTGAAAGGTTCCAGCAGCTTGGTAGAGATTGGTAGAGCGGTGACCTTTGTACAGATTCGGCAAAGGATTTTTCCACCATATCACTTTAGTAAACTAACATAACTATGGAAAATCACCATTTTTAATAGGTAAACCATCTATAAATGGGCCATTTTCCATGGCTATGTTAAATTACCAGAGGGTAAACTGCCCTTCGATAATCAAACATGGCTGGACAATCTTCCATTGCGATTCAGCCAATATGGTGATGATTCCGGATCCATCGATATTTCGACAGGGTGCCATGATCGATATCCACAAGCGTTGGATGAAAAACACCTTTGAACTCCCCTTGGATCCAAAAATTGCCACCGCACCATGCGAGTGGGCAACTTCACTTCCTGGCGTAGGAGCTCCGCCACCGCCTGCACCAATAGCTGGATGGTTTTTTTTTGAAAAATCCCAAAGAAAAATGGGTTTATGGCTGGTTTATGTTTGAAAATCCCATTATTTAATGGATGATAACTGGGGCTGGATGAGAACTGCGGACTCGGGGTACCCCTCGGGGTTTCTATCTATTTCTTACCTCTCGGATGGTTCTGGCTGTGGTAAATGGGGTCATTCATCAGCCATAACCCTTCAAGTACTTGGTTGGTTATAGATGGTAGAAAATGGTTATAGATGGCTACATAGTATATAATAACCATTTATCTTGTATATATATATATTATCTGGTTGGTGGTATACCTATACTTACCCCTCTGAAAAATGATGGACTTCGTCAGTTGGGATGATGACATTCCCAACTGAATGGAAAGTCATAAGACATGTTCCAAACCACCAACCAGAAAAGGATGTGACCAATTTTTGATCCCAAAATGGTAGGTTTACATCTGAAGCAAAGAAGTAGTGACTTTGCATCTGCCTCTTGTGGGTCCTTGTCCTCTCCATTTACTCCCTTGTTTACCATCGAGTGCAACCCTGTGCACAAATCATATATTCTGACCAAGAAAAAACCAGGCCAACATGAAGCGCTGATGCTTAAGTCACCTCGGCATCTGACAGGCGAAAACATGTACGCACGAAACAATAAGATAATCAATATATATATAGATATAGTTCTAAAAAAATACGAGGCAGTTACATCGCCGTCAATACCATCATAGCTAGAAAGTTGCACTATGCAAGCAGACAGAAATTATACTATAAATATATATATGAAGATGTCTCAGTGGGGTCTCTAAAAAATAATGATAAAATACATTAGATGTGTGTCAGTGGGGTCTCTAAAAAATAATGATAAAAGTTAATGAAATAACTTAGATGTGCATACACGTGTGTATAGAACAATAATAGCGATGATAACAGGAGTTTGAGAATAGTAACAATGTAAACGAAAGATCCAATACATTATATGCATGTGTACACTGTATATGTATATATATATATGTATATATATAAATGACAATAAAACACACAGTAATAATGATAAGTATCTATAATTATCTATATGTATTTATCTACATGTTCAGAATGGATCAGGTGGATTGTAACGATTAAATGCACATCCAATTAAGAAGAACATGTCGTTAAAACCGCTATCTGAAGGCTGGGTTAGACTTGTTTATCTGTTCACAAATCACTGTGGATCCAAAATTGTTTGACATTATTATTAATAGACAAATCATCACTAGCAAATTAACTTCATCACCATTTCTACTAGTAAAACACACTATTTCTAGTAAAAGCACCACTTGTATCAGTAAAGTCACCATTGAATCCCATTAAAAATCCCGATTCAATCCCATTAAAGTCAGCATACTGTGGATGGGCCAACAAAATCATGGGATTTTTACCATGGAACCATCCAAGGTGGAGCCAAAAATCGCCTCTGAGATAAAGAAGATGCTCTTGTCACCTGGCGGTCATGGCCTTGGTCATTTGGTCATTTCATGGTGGATTCATGGTGATCTAATGGTAATTTCATGGTGATTTAATGGGACTTAATAGTGTTTCAATAGGGAAAATCACCACTTTTTACCTTTTGATACTAGGGAAAATGGTGGTTGAATAGTGATTTCATGGTGATTTAATGGGATGTCCTGGTGATGTAAATAATCTGTGTCAATGGCCTTACATGGCACAATACCTCCATTTTAGAGTCCTGGAAATCCCGGCATGTATATATATATATATACACATTATCCTGAAATATGTAAATAGTATATGGATATATTCATCCATATGTATTTCTTATAATAGTTCATTTATTAATAAATATTGGATATCTCAATGACCTATCAATGGATGATCGTGGATGGTATATGATGCGTCAACATATATTGTTGCTATAATTGTTGTCAACATTTATCAACCCATATGTTTAGACAGCGATCGTTCTTCTTGAAAGTGCCTCCAGTGATGTTTGTTGGTTTAAAAACCCATGAACTAGTTCGTTATATCCCCATAATCAACCCAACAGTTTACCAAGTGATGTGCAAGGCAATTTAGCTATCTCAATCCCATTTTTCATCACCATTAACTCGCATTAAACCACCATTTTCGTCGCATTCAACCACCATTTTTTTTTAAAAAAAAAAACACCATTAAACCATCGCTGATTCGCTGCCACGCCTTCAGCTCTCATGACGAAGCGATGGGAAAGAGAAGCATCCTGGCCCCGCCAAGCGGAGAGCCGGTTACTATCAATGGATAGATCAATGAAAACTGTTTCATGATGATATCATCACTGAAAAATGAGGTTTTAACATGTTTTAACTATTGATGATAATTGATTGTTAGTTGATGGTACTGGATTTAAATTAACTATCATCAATGAAAACTGTTCAATGATATCATTAATGAGGCTTAGCCCCTATTACTATTTGGAATGTCTATTAAATAAATAGTGACCACCATCCCCCATCCATGGTTGATCGTTGCCAGGTCTGTCGCCACCATTTTTTGGGGAGGCCCAGCCCAGGACGACGAACGACTAACCCCCCAGATGGAAGTCGTATTGGTGGATTAGGATAGTAACCATATAAAAACAGGATATCCCATATTGATATATTGGTTACATATGGCTAGTAACCATCAATATAATCCCAATATAATCCCTAATGTATAATATTATTATATACACGGGATATCCCACATTGATATATCTGGTTGGTGGTGCTATCTTTCCATCTTGAAAAATATGAGTCAATGGGTTTCGGATGACATCCCATATATGGAAGTCATAAACTTCATGTTTTTTTCACCACCATGTAAGTCTAAGTGTCAATTTTCCAGGATATATTTCCAGGATATCTAAGGATAGCCATTGAAAAATTCGAGGCAAAATTCTGCAAAATTGGTCATCAACGGAAAATCCACAAGCCTTTTTCGGAACGGCCATCGAGGGCAGCAACGTCATTAGCGAAACAGGAATCACTCGGTCATTGGCCGAGCAATTCGAATGCGACACCAGGCGCTCTCGTTGGAAAGGGAGACAGACTGGTGACGTTTTTAAGATCTCGTTTGGTGTCCACACTGATGACGAAGAAAAAAGATATGCAAATAATTTTGTCATTATCTTTATGGTCAGGTTTTGGCCCAATATCCAATTGATTTCATTGTGGTTTCATTGTGATTTACTATCTGGTTATGACTAAGCCATTGAAAGACCCACCATGCTATTAGGTTCGGTAAATCATCTATTTCGATTATGGTAACCGACAGAATTATGGGAAAAAAAAACGTTCAACTTAGACAGGCGGCGCCTGCGTCCGATTTTTCCATAATTGGGTTTTTCCCCATAAGGGTTCAAAATATCCCGGAAGTGATCCGAACCTTTTTTTTTCCATAATTCTTGGAGGTGGCCATTATTTCCATAATTGATTTTTCCTGTAAAATCAGGGGGCTAGGGCAGATTGACCGGTTTTTCCATAATTATTTTTTCCATAATTATTTTTTCCATAATTATTTTTTCCATAATTAATGTTTGGGGCTCCACCTGTTGGACATGTCATGGATCCACAATTCAAACCCCTTTTTTTGGGGGGTTATGGAAATATGTATGCAAATGCAAGTATGTAGTATCAACCCAATTGGTGGCTTGGCAAAAGGATACATCCCGCATATGTATGTACGTACAACAATGAGTTTTGGTGGTGCAATTGTTTTTCCTTTGTTGGTACCACTATGGTCCATGGGTAATAGCCCTCATATACCAGATCTTTAGACACATATTTTCTATAATTCAATATTCCCCCTTAAAATGCATTCAAATTGCGAACATCACATGATATTATGTATATCAATGGCAGGCTTTAGGGGCATATACCAGATCTTTAGATCAAATTGCGAACATCACATGATATTATATATCAATGGCAGGCTTTAGGGGCATATACCAGATCTTTAGACACATATTTTCTATAATTCAATATTCCCCCTTAAAATGCATTCAAATTGCGAACATCACATGATATTATGTATATCAATGGAAGACTTAGGGGCATATACCAGATCTTTAGACACATATTTTCTATAATTCAATATTCCCCCTTAAAATGCATTCAAATTGCGAATCGATGGACATACAGTCACCGACAGAATTATGGAAAAAAAATAATTATGGAAAAAGTAATTATGGAAAAAAAAAGGTTCGTAACTTTTCTATCATAGACAGGCGGCGCCTGTAAATTGAAACGTTTTTTTTTCCATAATTCTGTCGGGTGTTGTAGGGCCATGGCTTGACCATGGCGAACTGTTAGTCATAACCACAGGGTAAGATGATTTAAGCCACCAAAGCTCGAGCGCTCGCTCACCATCAGACGGCGGCGTCACGGAGCCTGCCGACATGAAAAATCCAATCATAGGAATCCCATGGGATTTTTGACACCAATATGTACCCTCTGGTAAACGTTTACATAGCGAACTGGAAAATCACCACTTTTTTTTGGGGGGAAAATCAACTATTTCTATGGTCATGTTCAATAGCTATGTTAAATTACCAGAGGGTATATCATACATTCCGATGGATAAATATCATACATGAATCACTCCATCCTCTGTACATCAATTCATATCATAAATGAAAAAAACTGGCTGGTGGTGCTATTTTTCCATCTTGAAAAATGATGGACTTCGTCAATGGGTTTCGGATGATCTATCCCATATATGGAAGTCATCCAAAATTCCTGTTTTTTCACCACCAACCAGGATAATTATATGGATTATAACCACCATATATGATATATATATATATATATGGGTTATAACCCCTAATAAATCCTAATAATATGGATCCCTAATAATATATGGATTATATATGGGATATATGGGATACTATTGAGAAATCCCTATAACCGCCTGGCTGATGCGTGGTGCCGGCCGGGAATCTCCAGTCGTCATGTGTCATGGGTGGCCTGGAAGATGGACGCCGCTATGGGATGGCACAACCTCGCGAGAGCTGGGCTGTCACTGATGGCACAACATATTCTGTATATATGTATTACAGTAGAGAATATCATATTCTTACTAGTTATTATTGCTACTTGTTATTTATTATCATTGGATATTATTAGTCATTAGAATATTACCCACAGACGCCGTGTGTTGCCCAGACATTAACATTGAGAATGTCGTGTTGTCGAATATGTGATAGGAGAGATTGCAGAAAAAATTCTGCGTATACGCAGTGTTTTCCAGATTAGGATTCAAAGTTTTCAGAGCCTAGGTTTTAGGGTTTAGGCTTTTAGGGGTTGGGATTTAAGGGTTTGGGGCTTTAGGGTTTAGGATGGTTTAGGGTTTTAGGGTTTAGGGTTCGTCGTCTGGGAAATCTCAAAACACTGGCCCTGCGCAGGCGTTTGAGCATGTTGAAGGATAATGTTTATATAAACATGTTTAAACGCCATTTGAACCTCCGGGCAACACACAGCGCCTGGCCGTAATATTATGGTATAAATATATAAGAAACAACCATCCAGACGAGATTTGGGTGGTTTAAAGTCCCATAAAATTGCTGAGTGCTGATATAAAAGCCAACAGGTTTACCCCCTGGTTATTTAACATAGCCATGGGAAATGACCCATTTACAGATGGTATACCTATTAAAAATTGTGATTTTCCATGGCTATGCTAAATAACCAGCTGGTATATTGTAAATGTATACATGTATTAAATATACAAGAAACAAACAGTCCATCTTCCATCTACTCCGGGATAACTATGTATATATATATTATATACATATATAATTGTATATTATATATATTATATAAGTACGTATATATATATATAATAAATATATATATGCATACACATGATGCATTTGAACAAGAGCCGGATTGGAATGGTGAAGTCTTGGCTTTGGAACCACCATTGCTCAATAAGTCCGCTGTCACAAATATCAATCCGTTGACCAACTATACTGCTGAGTCCCTTATAGTTGTATATTGCGTTGTACAATACATAACGATTGTTTAGATGTTATACATAACTTAACTACTTAACTGTATATCCTGTATATCCCCATTGTTTTCGTTAGTTTTCTCCACACGTCGTCCTTCACAAAAACAAAAAAAATATGCAAATAGCCGGTTTTTCAAAAAAAAAAAGGCAACAGAAAATCTACCAAGAAGATTTTCCCAGCTATAGACCTAGCATTTTCCCAGCAAAAAACCGGGGATATCCCTTGAGTTCCCGGCGTTTGGCCGCTTGCTGCAACTGCCATTCTGCACGCGCCCGTTGGGGTGAACCCACCTCCTGAAGCGGATTTTTTGGGGGAGATCTCTGTCAATTTATAGAGGTTGGTGGTTGAAAAACATTCCCAACTGAATGGAAAGTCATAAAATTCATGTTCCAAAACCACCAACCAGTATATATGTAGATATAAAATAATGTGCTAATATTAAAGATAGTAGCTGTTGTTATGATAATATATAATTAATATCTCTCTTTTTGTGAAGTTTTCAGATTTACATCAAATCTCGCTTGTGCTTGGTTTCTATAAACATCTACGAAAGTCAACCATCAGATGGCCATCTTGTTCGAGACAATCATAAGGACCGGAGATCCTTTTTTGGAATATCAAACTTTCAGACAATACTGAAAATAACCATTTGGAAAAAAAAGTTTGATATCAATCCTACTCATTAATCAAATCACCATTATGAATGGGAAAATCACCATTTTTTCCATAGGGGAAAACTCCAAATCCATCCAACTTGGCCAAAAAATCCTGCAAAAATCCGAGAAATGTGGTGCCTCATCTGATGGGGATGAGGAAGGGGCTGCCTTGGCGAAGACTTCCAGAGCTGAATTGGATCCTGGAGTTACCCTAGGGTAAACTTAAACTTATGTGGTTTTCCCCACCATGTGTAGATTATTTTCACAGGAAACCATGGGTTTTCCAGATCTAGGTTAGTTTGCCCTAGGGTATATAACGGTGTGTGTGTATATATATATAGAGAGAGAGAGAGACAAAGAGAAAGAGAGAAAGAGAGGTCGATAGATAGATTAGAGTAGAATAGTTTTGATTTGGATTGATTTGATTTGGATAGATGTATAGATAGGTAGATAGATAGACCAACATGTGTCTACCAATCTTATTCCGTCCTTTAGTATCCCATCATTTTCCATCTCATCTAGCTATCTACCTGTCTAATTACCTATGTGTACATACACATACAGCACATGCCAGACATGCCACTTGCCAAACTGTTTCCGGAAGATCTACAGGAACACCCTCATTTGGTCGAAACTCCGCTGATTGCAGGCAAGGAATGCCCAATCCCGATTTGTCACCACTGAATAATTTAGTGTAAGCCCAAAAAAATCCGGTGTAAGTCCACATGTTGGTGAATATCCCCTGTCTTTACAGCTGGATTTCTACCCAGCGTCAAAGCGCATTGAATGGCAATATGACTAAACATCTTAACGCTGGAATAATCCCTATTAACCCAATATAATCCCACAAGAATCCCACAGAAAACCATCATGTCTTCTCATTTCTGGGCTTACCCTCTGGTAATCAAACATGGCAATGGAAAATCCACCATTTGTAGATGATGTTCCCAGCGAACGAAAAAACATCCGTTTCCTTCGGGGATTTCCTGAGGATGGAACGTCTACCCTTTCTTCGCTCACTCTTTCGATGGGGCCCTACCAGCTTGGCGAACGGAGACAGAAGGGGAAAACACACTTTGGGAGGTGACAAAAAACACGATACGAAACACAACAAAAAATGGGGATTGAAACGAACAACGTGGAAGATACACAGCACCACGGTTCGTCCCTCAGATAGTGTGCCAATAGCCATGAGAGATAGCGAAAAGCACAAGCATTGCAGTCTGCTTTCCATTCTCGGTGCTCTGGAAAGTTGTCACCCGATGAAGATATCTGATGCTTCATTGTAGTTTGTGTTTGTTGTTGGTTCTTGTCAAGCGGTTTACGGGTGACATAGCCATGTTTGGAGGGTCACACCCCAAAAGAACATGAAACATCACCATCAGAACATATGTGAGAATGGGCCAGAAGTACATATACATACAATTATATACAATTATAGGAACCTCCAAAAAGATAGAACAGTATCCCAGCATATCTCAGCGATTTCTTCGTTGAACCTGTTCGAGAACTTGATTTGTACCCTCCGGCGAAGGCGCAGGGATGGTTTCTGTCGACGTCTCCTTGCCAGAGAAAGTCACAGAATGTATCGATTGGTCATTGGGATGTCGGGAAAACCTGGGAAAACCCTAAATCTTATGGTTGATCATGGCTTTTCCCAACTCAAATGGTGATTTTATGTGATTTTCATATCAGCTGCGACCCTTCACAAGAAATAGCCATGCTACCCCTACATTCATCATGTATGCTGTCTCCCAGTCCTGCAGCACGTGTGGTACAGGCGCTTGCACTGACCTTTGCTTCAACGCTGCAACCTGCAACGCAGCTCGAACAAAGTGCCTCCTGAGGCAGCCCTTGATGAAAACCTGGTGAAAACCTGGTGAACACGTGGTAACGATGTGTTTGATGTGTTTTCTGTGTTCTATCACAATGTTTTCAGCTTGCACCATCATTTTTCTGAGGCTGTCGGCCAGGTTGCCAGAATTTATGGATTTCAAACGACTTCAAGATATGTCAAGTCAAATACCACCATGTACATAGGTTATATTTTATTGTTGTTGAGCAAATACGGCATTCAACAACAAATACGATAATTTATGATCATATGTCGTTCAGCACCTTATTCAACGTCCCATTCGTTGGCTAATTCCCCCTGAAACAACTGCAGTTTTTTTGTTGCTGACACTCCCAGCCCTTGTTAGTGAAAATCGCCCATTAACTTGGTTCAACATTCGTTCTGGCGTATTCTTGAAGTTGAATCCCCACAGAAAAACAATGATTAGCCTGCTAAATCGCAATGTTTACGATGATTTCACCAGCATTTGAATTGTCAAGTGAGCTGGAAATAGCCAATCCCATCTCATCAAAATCTCATAAAATCAACTCGTTGGTTCTTGTTTTTGTTTCCCTACCGTAGATAGGTTAGTTTCATAATCCCAGACCATCCACTAACCATCACTAACCCAAATTTCGTATCATTCCCTTCAACATCCTTCAACTACTGTAACCCAGCCACCTCACTTCTGAGCATTTGGAGGTCATGGTCGTGACTGATGACCTGTCTCTCTGTCGGGAAATCGAGGTCAGTTGGTGCCGTTTTTTTTAATTTTACCATGGAAAAATAGTGCTTAACATTGGAATATTCACCAATAATGTGGTTAATATACTGTTAATAATGGTTAATATGATGGTTATTATATGGTTAATGATGGTTAATAATCATGACTGCTTGGTGGTTTTTCGCCACCTACCCCTCTGAAAAATGATGGACTGAGTGAGTAACAGTTGGGATGATGATTCCATTCCCAACTGAATGGAAAGTCATAAAATTCCATGGTTCCAAACCACCAACCAGATAAAAAATCGTGATATAACCGTGAAAAGATGGTGCTTAAAGCATGAAACATCGCGACTTAAGCATGACAAATTATCTTTTTTGGACCATCAAAATGGTGATTCATATTGGGAATCCTGATGTTGGCCATGATAAATCCCTGTTTATGAAGGTACAACCATAACCATCCTCGAATAGTGGCCATATAAATCCAACTTTCGACTATGGCTATGTGTTTTATCATAGTGGTTCATAACTAGCCATCAGTTTCGAATTTTTGTATCAGTTATTTCAAGACTAATCTGACTCTAATGGTATTCAACCAGCAAAAATCTGGCTGAAATATCTTCACTCTCCTTGGAGCTGAAACGGCCAGCGGGATGATGATTTCCCGAAACCAATTTCTGGTCCATTCCAGTGACATCACGACGGTCATGAAGGAAATCTGCTTGGTGGTTGAGCCCTACCCATCTGAAAAATGATGGACTGAGTGAGTAACAGTTGGGATGATGATTCCATTCCCAACTGAATGGAAAGTCATAAAATTCCATGGTTCCAAACCACCAACCAGTTGTGCAGATTATACCATTAAATTCCGTTATATCTATCCCTCCAAATGATTTTTTCCCATGAAAGACCTCATAAAAAGATCTCCATGAAGATTCTATAAAAACAAATAACTTAGGATGTTTATTGTTCATAAGTATCCAATTCAGAATTTTCATGATAATCCACAAAAAGTGGATACCATTTTATCCATGACTAGTCAGTCTTCATAAATCATAAAATAATTCCATGACTCGCCCAGCATTTCCAAACCGGACCCCCAGCATCCCCCAGCCTTGGGAGTAATCTCTTTGAGTCGCTCCACCAGGGCACTCATGTGGGGCGTCAGCGACTGCGCTGAAGCGAAACGCGTTTCGCCGAAACGCCAATTTTACATGGGGGGAATTAATGATGATTAACCAAAGTGGATGTGGGCTTTGTCATATTTGGATTAATGATTTGGTATACCAAATATTAACCTATATATATTATTGGATATGGTATACCTGTAGCAACCTTTTTTTGGGGGCTTGTCAAAAATGCGGTTTGTCCTCTAAGAGGGGCTTCTTGATGCGGATCTTTGAAGCGGATCTGGGTTAATTTTCGTGCCCATCTTTTTGCCGCTGAAGATCAATTCGTATTTTCGAATATGTTCACCCCCTTGTTTTAAGCTTAAGCCCGTTCTAAAAATCGAATATGATTGAGTCCAAAAAAACAAAAATCTTAAAAAATAAAAATAAAAACAAGCATTGAATTAGCCACTTTGGATCAGCGTCCAAAGATGGTTGAGACGGAAGCATGGCAATGGACCCCAAAAAAAGTCAAATCCGTTCAACAATTCCAACAGGCTTAGCTATACTGCTATACCCACAAAATAAAATTTGATTTTGAAACCAACAACCCGCCATTTCCCAGTGATTCGGATATGGATATAACTATAGTTTTACCATATATATATATTATAGATATTATATATCATATACATATATAATAATATAATATATATATAATCTCTATAATATATATATATATATGTATTATAATATATATATATATGTATTATAATATGTATATATATATATATATACATATTTACCACATATTTACCATATATTTACCATATATGTAGCATTTGCACCACAGACATCTTCCCCATACATGACATTGGCCCATGCGTGTCGTCAACTTCTTCGCACCTGTGACTCCAAGGCCTGGCCGGGACAGCCCTGGCCCAGCCCGCCCCCCCGGCCCTCAGGATTCACATTTTTCACCAAAAATGGGGATGAATAAGGAAAAATACCAATGGTTAATGGGGATATCAATGGTTAATGATGGTTAATGATGGTTAATGATGGTTAATGATGGTTAATGATGGTTAATGATGGTTAATGATGGTTAATGATGGTTAATGATGGTTCATGGGATATCATCATTCATCTGGGATGTACCAACGGTTAATCCCATGATCAATGGATTTAATCAACTATCAATGGGGAAAATGGCCATAGAAATAGTGGATCTACCATAACGGATACCGTTACGACCGATACCTCAAGCGGCTACCCGGCCTGGTAATGACGGTAACCAATGGTTTTTTTGATGGTTAATGCTATCCATATGGGATATCCATGGTTAATGATGGTTAATGGGGATATCAATGGTTAATGATGGTTACCATCTGGTAATTTGTTGCAGTTTGCTATTGAAAATGGCCCAGTCGAAATAGTGGATTTACTCAGCTAGAAAATGGTGATTTTACCAGAGGGTATCCCTATTGAACATGAATAGGAACATGAAAAAATATCATAAACAAACTAAAATAAACTATTCATAAACCATAATAAACTACTCATCCTGGTGAAAAATATCGCTATTGAATATTGAACAATGGGGATGAATATCCCTATGATAAACCATGATGAATGTTCTATCATCTTCTTCAATCTTCCCTATTCTTTGATAAAATTTCACCATTGATGAAGATTTGGGAAGAATAGATGAATCACTAAATATGGGGGTATATATATATATATGGATAAACCATCAAGAATATTATGGATAAACCATATGTCTATTGTAGACATAGATCATTAAAAAAAACAGGGATGAATAGAGTTGTACATCTTTACATCAATGGTGGTATACATCTATACATCAATGAACACTTCAGGAAAAATGGGGATAAGGGAAACATCCCATTGATGATTGATGTTCATTGATGTATAGATGAATATAGTGGGATTGAAACATTTCAATGAGGATTTAACTAATATAGTAGAATATACATATATATATATATCTTAGAACATGTTTGTTTAATTGACTGTAACCATTTCTACTGAAGAGTGGCTCTTGATCCTGTTTGATTCACAGAAATAGCATTGATGTTAAAAGTAGAATAGATTGTTGGAGAAAAAACAACTATCAAAACCGGGCTGATTAGACCAACTAGAATGGGATAGCATCTGATTCATAGAAAAAACCTTGGGGACATCATCGATGTTCACAGATGATCATAGATGTTCACTAACTTGTTGGGATATAGATTCGAATCATTGATGATATGTCCCCCTGAAAATTCGATAAACATGATATTGGTTAATTCAATGATGGAAAACTGCTTCGATGATGAATGTCATGGGATTTGACCATTGAATTTTCCATAAGAATCCCACGATATCCGCATGAAAAATAGCCAAAGAAACGGCTTGATGTTTTTCTTAATGGGGATATCCTCGGATGTAGTGGGATATAGTACAATATCGTAGGGGGGGGTCCAATGTTATCGCAGAAAACGTAAAAACTAAGCATAGTTTTCAATAAAACTCTGCTTGTATCCCATCTTGAGGGTGCACTAACTGTACAAGTTAGATTTCGTTCTGTCTTTGACTTGATTGCAGGGAAATCTGGCGGTTTTGGGTAACAGCTATGCCATGTGTAAAGTCAACAAGGCAAGGGGCATCGGGGGTATCATCGAATCAAGAAATCATGTCAGCAACAATTCCGCAGTGTTTGAAACTCTGCCAAAAATCGACAAGATATTGATATATGTCCACGCCGAATACAAAAAAAACACTTTTCCCCTGTGTTTCAATAGACTTTCGGCATGTCAGAATCATGTGTTCATCATTTTCCCATCATTTTCCGACCATTTCCCATGATTTTCCATGATTTTTCCCAAGATTTCCAGCCAAAACCCATCCAGATCCTCCCCAGATCCGCCACGCCTGGACCCTCTGCGAGACTCGCGACAGCTGATCTTCCAACTTCTCCAGGCGATGGAGGCCACGGGAAGGGGTCACCTCTGGAATGTCAGGAAGTGGGTAATTCTACAATGTGCCCCCCCCCAGTTATAAGTTGGTTTATAAGCCCCAGTAACTATAGTTATAAGTACCATAAACCATAGTTATTGGAGTTATAAACCAACTTAGCTAATAGTAATATTAATGGAATACCAATGGCATATTATATGTAAACAATAGAATAATGGAATATTAATCATGGGATATTAATAATAGTAATTTTATCACAATAAAATAATGGAATTAACAATGGAATATTGCTAATAATGGAATTATCAATACACTAATGATCACTACATATAACAATGGTCATAATGATCATGAAGTTATCATAATAACAATGGAAGTGGGTAATTACAATAGATCAATGGGAATTTCAGGATCCTAAAATGGAGGTACTGTACCATATAAGGCCATATTTTCTGGGGATATTCCCTTAATTATATATCCATATATATATTATAATGATATTATAGCATAATGACATGATAATCTATCTATCAGAACTATGTGATTATAGTAATAGATAGAATCATAATAACAATGGAATACACTATAGTTTTACAATATTTTCATTATCAGTGTATAGCATTTATTACAATAATACAATATATTAACATTTATTGCAATAATACAATTGACGAAACAATGATCGGAACATCAATAATAATATCATTAAAATTATAGAATTGATGATACCCAATAGATATTGATAATTAAACACATGGAACATCAATGATAATGATATTATACAATGATATCTGATAGCTGTCATCCATCAATTGAAATATTATCCATGATATGGATATCACCCTCTGGTAATCAAACATGGCATTTGAAAAGCACCTAAAAATAGAGATTTTCATGGGAAAATCAACTATAAATGGTGAATTTCCATTGCCATGTTTGATTGTCCGAAGGTACAGCAGATGGAACATCAATGATAATATCATAATTGTAATATCCCAATAACAACAGAGCATAATTACAGATCACAATATCATATTTTTGATAATCACAACAGATCATTTCATGGAAATGATAATATCATTGAAACGATGATAGTAATCATTGAGAATACCCCAATGTAATAATGGGTAATTCCATGTAATTTGAATAGATTCCAATGATATTGATAATTTAATGGAATTGATAAGACCATTGAAATGATGATAGTTGCCATGGTCAATCATATTGGTAATATCCCAATTGAATATTATCCCATAGTTGGTAATATCCCATATGAATAATTCATAATTCAATTGGGATATTACCATGACATATGGGATATTACAGCTATGGGATATTACCAGGACAACTATGGGATAATTTGGTCAATAATGAATGACCATAGTTGTCATGATTGGGATATTCCGGTTATTCCAGGACAGATTGATAAACTGGCTGTGGGTAAAACAGTGCCCAGTCATCACCACCCCCAAGTGATCACCATTTTTATAGGTGGGACTGAAATAATAATTACAATTTGTGGGGGTTCCACATGGAATATCAATTAACCATGGAATATTGCTAACAATGGAAGTGCCATTTTTATAGTGGGGATTCCCAGTCATTTTTGTGGTTTGTGGCATTGTTTTACCCACATGATTTATTATAATTACAACTATAATTATCAATCTGTCATGAACATATCACCAACTATAATTATGGAATATCAATGGAATAATGGAAACTATATAACCTTTAACTATCATGGAAAAACACATATATATATTGTTAATGGGGATAGTAATGGAAACAGAACCAAATACAACGGAATAGAATGGAATATGGATATTAATGATATGAGATATTTAATGATATTAGTGGAATTATATTTATATGTCACATCATATGCTGGACATGGGATGTTTAATGGAAATATGGGGATAAATGGTGATAATATGGGATTGATATTGTCGAAATATCAAGGATCATTATGAACCACTCAATGATATCTAGATATAGTCATAGTTTGTTACATTTCTATAGATCAGTTCGTTTTAGTTGGTGATATGATATAATATGGGATGTTTTGTGGAAACATAACCAACTATCATGGACACAAACAATAATAACCCATATGGGATATTGAATGGTATATAAACGGGCATATAGAAACAAACTACAAATCTGGAATATTATAATAAAGAAGTAACTATATCTATCATTTTGACAATGGGGCAAAAAATGGTTGAATTCTCCACTTTTGTTTTGAATCTGGTCTGTTCTATCTTTGGGGGGTTGGCTGGGAAATCGCACATGGAGGTTTCTAGTTGAACATCGAACCACGTTTGATTGCCGGATGTACCGAGAAAGCAGACCCCAATTAAGATAGAATTTGGAAGAACTAAATCCTAAAATTGGAATGATCAATTGAAGCCATTATGAATCTTTTTAGGGGTTACTATAGATGTCTTTCCCATCAGCCCCTCATTTAAACAAGGGATTTCCCCACTTAATTCTAGATGGCTATTCTACCTTCTGGTAATTTAACAGTTTGCTATGAAAGCCACTAAAAAAAACTTCGATGATCTACCTAATATAAATATATATATCTCTCTCTCTCTCGGACATGTTCCGTAGCAAACTGTTAGTTATTAGTAGAGGCTATCCACTAAAATCTTCGTTGATGTGGGATTTTCCCAAATTTGATGAAACCAGCCATCCCACCGCACCAATGCCTGTGGCTCCTCCAAAGATTGATGCCTCCAATGGAAAGAATGTCGGAAATGATCGTACTCAAGTCATCAAGATAATATGGTGCATACATACATATATATATATAATGAATATATAATTATATGTGTATATATATATATGTATATAATGAATAATTATATAACTATATATATACATACATAGATGATCTATATATCTGAATTTATGGTGGGACATCTTTGGAAATCATCAAAATCAACGATTCTTTTGTTCTCAGAGGGAAACTCAGTGGGCCTTGGACTTGGCAGTCGGCTCAGGTGCTGAACATCTTGTTCTTGCCTGGACCGTCCGACCGTTGCAGCGGCGATATGCCGCGATGAAGCGCAATGACGATGCTTAACAAATCTTAGTTTACATACAATTATGTATGTCTATGTATGTCTATGTATATCTATGTATAATATAATATATATATATGTATATTTGAAATGACGATCTGTCCAAATCTGCTTTCTGGTTCGGTTCAACTGAGAAACTGGTTGATGTGTTTCTGCTTCCGGTGAATCCAACACCACCACACCTTAAAACAAAATGTTTGCCCAAAACAGGGTAATATCCCCATATGTGGCAAATTTAGAAACGAACATGAGGTTCAAGATGCTAAACCATGCACTAGCATTGTGGTTGCAGGATGTTGCAATATGTTGCAGGCAGAATTCAAGATTTAACCAACAACCAACTCGAATGCTGCATTTCAACACCACCTCATGTAAATCTTACGGGCAAACAATGCTTGAAACCATCAGAAACCCATCATCAAACAGATATAAACACAACATAAAGTCAGTATAAACAGTGAATAAACCCAACATCAACCCTGTTTTTGAACCCCAAAAATCACTTTCACCCACCCAACAACAGCATTTCGGTTCCCCAAAAAAAGGGCCTGTCCAGGCTGTGCTGTATGAGTTGCAGTTGTTCAGTGTGACCGGTGCCGGTCGACTCCAGCTCCTCAACATGACGACGTAAAAAATGGGAAAGTTTTGGAGGGAACATCAATGGCTATATATATATATGTGGTATATACTACAGTATATACACCACCAACCAGATAGTTACATATGTATATATATATATTTCAATGGGAGATCTCCAGGATCCTAAAATGGAGGCACGTAAACGCACCATATTTTGGGCCATATTTTGGAGGGATATCCCCTGAAATTTAGGCCTGAAAAATAGGCCTTTTGTTTATGGTAGGTACCTCCATTTTAGGATCCTGGAATTCCCATTGATAACAGATTGGAGCAATCAACTGGCTGGAAATATCGAATGAAATGACCTAACATCTGTTTTCATATGTTTGCCTGATTTTTTTGGACATATCCAATCAACTATACCAACTATACGGTATATGTAGGAAAGATATAGCTGATATAGTGGTAAATTAACTCATGATGGTTGTAATTAGCTATCATAACTGATGGGAAATATAGAGGTAACTGATGGGAAATGATCAACTTACCAAATAATGGGGGAGTGATCCATAATAATTAAATTAATCAAATCATCATCTCATTCCCCCATTCCCTACGTTTATAACCGGTGAGTAGTAGCAACAAAAATAATAGCAATAACTAAACCTGTTATCAAATAACTGTAATAACTATTAATAATCCCCATCGATATTTCATAGTTATCACAAAAGAACTGTATTGACAATAATCAAAATAACAATAATCAAAATATAGCAATAATAATAGTAATATCGCTATTCCCCATCAATATAAAAGCATATTTTGCAATAGCAATCATCAATTTATGTCATTGTCTCTTCTGACAGTCATGGGATCATCTTATGGGAATTCTGAGAAATCACAGAAATTTGAAACATCCTCGGAAATAGGCTGGTATATATATATATGATAGAGTTATAATGGGATATACATTATATATATATACACGTACATATATGTACATATATGTACGTATGTAAATATATATATATATTATGTACATATGTATATATATACTGGTTGGTGGTATACCTACCCCTTTGAAAAATATGAGTTCGTCAGTTGGGATTGACATTCCCCTTTTTTGGAAAATCAAATTCATGTTCCAAACCACCAACCGGCTATAATAACAAGTTGGTGTATGATTATAGTTATAAACCAACATTATTGCACTATGGGGTTAAAAACCAACATTGTATCATAACTGGTGATGAACACTATACAATATCAAATTATATAATCATATATAATGATGATTAGTATTATGACATCCCTATATTAATATGTATTATCATATTACACTATGTACACTAATTATTAAAATACATATAGTGTATACCCAGGATATTAACCATATATATACATATATATATATACATACAATAATATTACCCATATGTATCACAGTGGTTTCCCCATAATATTACACAATATAATGGGTTTACTACACTGATGGGATGGAATGGGATGCATCTCACACTTCAGCATGTAGCAGGTGGCGCAGGAAGCTTTCCTGACTCGCTGTTGTACGGACTTGAGTCGCCCTTCCAAATTCTCCTGGCACAACTCGAAACTCCAACATGCGGAACAGTTGGTAAAAGCCATCTATAAACAGCATTCAATGGCTATAAACAGTGGGTTTCTACCCAAAATTGGGTGTAGCAACCAACATTTTTTTGGGGGGGAATTTTGGGCAATTTTGTATCATGACTATGTTTGATGGGACAACTTGGAAAATCAACCGTAAATGGTTGGAAATGCCTGGTGCGAAGCAACAATAAATGGATTGAACCAACTTTATCATGAACAATGGACAATGGGGAGTTTTTATATTTTAACTAATAGGGTGCTAACCGAAACATTAGGGGTGTGAAACCAACAATAATGGAGATACAATGGGGATAGAGCGGGTCTATCTTGGGACAATATCATCAATATGATATGTTTTTTTCCGAAGAAGGGTTGGACTTTCTCAGAAGTTGTGGCGGCCAAATCATGGGAAGGATGATGAACCACTTTTACGATTCCATAAGAACAGGGCACTTCAAGGGATGTCTTTGCAGAAATTCCGGTGTGACTGTTTTCCAGGAAGATGTTTCGTAGTTTTAATTGAAGGGTCTTCCAGAAACATTTTTTGGTTTGCTTTACCTCAGACAACCGGTTGTGACATTCGTGGCTTTGTCGGATACCCATGGATACCCCAAATTCCAAGGCTCACCCCAAAAGTGTCAACCTCAACAAAGATTGCCATGTCCAAATTTCGGAAAGAATAAACTTCCCAAAACGCCAGTCAGCCAGTCATAAATTCTCCAGATGATTATATCCAACCAATGGGATATTGGGATATTATATGATTTATATATATATATCCAACTATGATATAATATGATAATATGTGAAATATATTGGGGCATTATGGATATTATGATATATGGTAAGATGATTATATCCAACCATCTTTCCATAATTTTACCCATATATCATGATTCAAATATTACCATAGATCAACAATATTATGAAATACATTGGGATATTATCTGGTTGGTGGTTTGAACCCTGAAAAGTATGACTTCGTCAGTTGGGATTATGACATTCCCAACTGAATGGAAGGTCATAAAATTCCTGTTCCAAAGCACCAACCAGTTATGATATATGACTCATATCACATATTACCATAGATCAACAGCATTATGAAATATATTGGGATATTTTGATGGATGACTCATATTACATATTACTATTACCCACCATTTTTCCTTCAGTTTCCTCCACTGAGTTCCCACCCGTTCCACACGGTCGATTAAGGATCGCAGCTGCTCATCTTTGGTGTCCTACCAGATGGCAGGACACCAACCTTTTTCATGCCGCAAAACAAGGGAAAACACATGGAAAATCTGCTTTTGTCTAGCTGATTAGGTTGATTATGGTTGATATATCCCAGATGATATCCCCATGACCCCATGTATAGAATGAAACCATGTGGTTCTTTTAGCTGATATATGATATATCGTTATTTCATGCAAATATCTCACATGAATTTGCTCAAAAAACCATCCAAGGTTTAACGAAGTACCAATAATTTGGGGGTAGGGGAGATCAGTGGTGATAGCTTTGGATCAGCCCATTGATAGGCCAACAATCATGACTTTGGCGATGTTTGTGGGCAAGTTAATCTAATCCTCAAAGCAGAGTCATGTTATGTCATGTTGGCCATTGGGATCGGGAAGAACATGTCACACTGGGGGAACCCCACATGTTGATATGCCAGACCTGCAAGTCATGCAAGGTTTTAATACAGCTGTGGTTTTCTTTCTAATTTCTAGCACAAATCATCACCAAATTTTGGGGATATTAGATTTCAGATTTCAGTTTTTTTTTGGTGGCCCTATATATATATATATATATCGATATGTGTATATATATATATATAGGTATATAGATATACTGGTTGGTGGTTTTAACCATCTTGAAAAATATGAGTTCGTCAATGGGTTTCGGATGACATCCCATATATGGAAATGTGAACAAATGAATCCTTGTTCTGGATGTAGTCGAATGGTAGTACCTTGTGTGCTAGTTATTACCGAACCTCACTCAGGCATTGCAGTCAGCGCGCAGCCGTTTTCCTCTTGCGGGCGCTTGAGCCATGATGGCCGTAACATTGTTCATTGTTACATGTGCTACCGCTGTGTTCCCTTTGACACCCCCCATGCCCGTGGTATTCTTCGAACCACGGACACGAGAGAGGGAACTTTGAATTAGATTGGTTTCTGCTACTTGAATTACGCCTTTGTACATAAAACGTGCCATTCGGCTCCCCCTTCCCCACATACCCGTCGGGAATAATGGTTCAGGGTTCGCCTACTCTCTGGCTGTCGATGCTTCGGCGCGTCATCAAGCTGTACAACGCGAATTATTGCTAGCTAACATCTACTTTTCTACGTTGGCTAGGCATACCACTCACCCGTCGGGAGAAATGGATCGCTTCGCTACTAAAGATTTACAATGCTAACTAACGAATTCACGTGCACAGTGCAGAATTCGTGCAGATTGGGAATATCAAAAATCTTGAACCTAAGCGAATTAGTCTACTGCCTCGCTCAGAGTCCACTCAGTTGATCCTTTCCTGATCATCTGTTCACAAAGACGATACACATCTCATATTCCAGTGATCATTTTTACGGATCAAAGTAATTGGTTTACTGCTCACGGCGGACTTTCTTCCATTGAGGTGCTGTTGGAGTTCTCTCCCATCCTGCCGCACGTTTCGGAGCAGCTTTCGGCGATGAAGGCTTTGCAGGCGGTGCCTTTGATGGTTCATGGGATTTCGGCATAGCCTTGCCCTTTGGTGCACTAGCCGATGAGGATGATGCTGAACCAGTGCCTTCAGGTGTCTGTGAAGGTTGCGCAGTTGGTTTAGCAAACTTAGAAGCTGCAGTATGTCCAACCGCTTTGAATACTTCACTCACCACTTCGTCGCCAAGGGTTGGAGCCATCTTCGCTTTCATTTCGGTCTTTCCCCTCTGCGCCTCGGCCTCGGCCAGCTGAATAGCATAAGCCATCTTGCTGACAAAGTTTTGAGGTAAAGGAATGCCACATTGTTGGGCTGCAAAGAGCAGCTCTACTCTCTGTTCTTTCTCCCTCAGGCTCAGATATACCGAGAAGGCTGGGAGTTCGATGCAGTTGGGGAAGCCGTGGCTCCCGGAGCGAAAGAAGGTGTATGACTCGTGCTCCGGAAAGGTTCCTTTGAGCAGTCGTCGAAGGAAATTGCTGATGGTTATTCGCATCTCCTGTTTCCCTTGGGCATCAGCCTGCATTCGGTTCATTGGCATGAGAAAGCCTAATGACTCAGGAGTGTACCCAGCGCGTACCAGAAATTCCATCATCTTTCATAGATCTCTAAAGTCTTGATGACAGGCATCATCATGTTTCTTGGTCGCCCTGAGTATAACTTCTCTCCTTCTGACCATGAATTCCTCTTCCCTTTCTGCTGAAAGAGTTCATCCAATTCCAGCTCCGTCGGTCGCTTGAGGTTGCCATCCTGGTCTTCTCCTGTATAAGGACAGAAGTCGTCCAGGTCCAGCCGGACTCGCTTGGTTTCCGTCATCATCTCATAGTACTCCTCTGGGGTCAGAGTGACTCTCTGTTTGTAGTAGAGCCTGAACATTGTGATGACCTTTGACATGACAGCATTGTCATACAAGTGAGCCGCGGCCTCGGAGACATCATTGTTGATAAGTCCGTCTTCTGGCATACCCTTGCTGCCGCTCTCGAGGTTCTTGGTCCATGCTGGAAGTTTGGAAGAGGATTCATCTTCAGGTTCGACTTCCATTTCATCTTCGTCTTCTTCAACGATTTCGTCGTCTTCCTGTTGGGCTTCCTCCTCCTGATCCATTTCTTCATCATCGCCTTCGTTGTAGTCGACCTCGTCGGGATTGAAGCCATAGTCGTTGGATTCGGATACGTTTTCTTGTGCTTGATGGACCGTATCCTTGAACAACGATTCTTCTTGTCGACGAACTTCTTCATCGATCTCTTTCTTCGTGGCCTCATCTTCATCGTCTTCAGGAGCTTGTAGCCGATAGGGACGGATTCCACAACTTTCCAGTTCCGTCCAGCAAACTAGACACACTGCTAGTTTTGTCGGCGTCTCATTGAGACAGTGAGGACAATGGCGGCAACCTGATGTTTGCACCCTTTTGCGTTCGACTATGTAGTCAATCAGCTTGATGCGGGCCAGGTATTGTTCTTGTCCGCCAGGCTTGATGAGGTCGTTCTTGAATTGGTTGACGATGTTCATGGCATCCATGGCGGTTTCGTCAAACGGTTGATCTTCGGCGTCGATGCATTGACTTGCAACCCTCAAGATGGACTCCTTGGTGGCTACCGTTCTTGATTTGACAGTTCCAGACCGGACTACCTGGTCGTCGCCCGACGGGACGAACAACCGGAGCCATGTCTTATTGTTTTGGTCTTTTGGGTCCTGAATCCATCCTCCTTTGATTGCCGAGAACGGGATGATCTTTGGTGAGACGATCTGTCCCGAGTCAGTCAGTCGACCGCCATATTCCACCATCAAGGTCTCGGTCGGGATGAACAAGCAAATGTAGTCCCCCTTTCGCGTATCAACGCTCTTCGTGATAGTCCATGATCTGTGATCCCATGGCACGTACGGGTTGAAGAACGTGAACATCCGATGACCTTCTCCAAGACCTCCTGGAATTAATCCCTGCCTCCAAATGCTTCGAAGGTTGGTCTTCTTGGTGATGTGGAAACAAACCGGTAACGACAAAATGGTGTTGGGCGCGATTGGATGTGAAAGTAATGAGGACAGCAATGAGACGTCGTCCCTCGAAGATCCTTCCTTGTGCCCCGTAGGAGCACGGACCGCCACAGGGTAGAGCAGTAGACCTTCATCAGGAATGTTCGTGTTCGCATCGACTTTGTTGTCAATGCACGTCAGGCTGGTGCGCTCGATGTCCTTGTTGATACCAAATGCCAACACTTGTTCACGAACACGACGTCCATACCGGGCACAGTGGAACATAATCTTGAAGAGCAACGTCATGCGGTAGTTTGCCTCATCGACATTCCATGCACTCTGATCATTTGCTCTTCCTTTTGGAGCAAGGAATACATGTGGCCAGCGTGCGTACTCGTGCCTCCAGATGGACTCACATTTGAGCACCTCCTCGATGGGCACCCAGCCGGCGTCATCACATGACAAACTCTGTTGTTCTGATACCTTCCCCACGATGTGCCGCAGGATCCTGTTTAGTGATGTACTCACCTTGTCCTCGTAGGTATTGAGTCGGTTGCCAGTCTCGAATCGGTAGTTGGCCGCATATTCTACACCGCCAAAGTAAGAGCAGTTGAAGAAATGGACCCCCGTGGTCGGGATGATTTTCAAGAAACCATCTTGCGGCGCCTCGACTCTCTTGTAGAAGGGCTTCCTGATGTTGTTATCAGAGTAGCTTGCCATGAAGTCTGGCACTGACCAAGAGTCACCTCCTCCTCTGACAATAGCGTCTCTGACCACTTCGTTGAGGTCAACAATGTTCTGTGGTCCTAGCTTTGTCACATCACGTCCTTCTATGCAGAATCTGCCATACTCATCGAGGTCACCAACTTCAGACATAGTTCTGATGCTGTCGTACCATTGGTGTTCACCAAACCTCGATTTTGTGGGTTCATCCGTTTGCCCCGACCCATCAGTAGCACCTGAACCGTCCTTCTTGTGCTCAGGAGGCTCCATATCGACGTCATCAGATGTTGGACTATCAGCCTCGAGCGACGCTCGGACGGCCTTTAGCACTTTTCTGACTTCATCTCTCTTCTCATGTTCACATTCAAGATGGCCATGTTGGGTGCTACCACAATACAAGCACACGTTGACATCCTCAGAGACGGTGAATAGTTTTCCCAACGCATCCAAAAGTTGTTGTTTCCCGGAATTCTCTGAGTCCCTGACCACATCGGTGGGGTCGTTCGCTGGCTCATCAGCTTCCTCCTCCCCAGGGTGAGCCGACGACTCGTCACCTGGCTTGGCATCGGCATCAGTGCCCATGCTGGCGTCACCCCCTGTGATGTTGTTCTTCCTGCGATAATGAGAGAATACCTGATCCTTCTCCCAGTCCGTGAGGCAGCAGAAATTGGCCAGCGAATCATATCCGGGGATTGCGTGGATGAGCTTCATGACCCTTTCGGCTTCTGCAGTTTGCAGTGTGCAGTCGAAGGATCCCCGTCTCTTGTCATTGATGGTGCTCGAGGTTCGGGAGGTCGATGTAAATTGAGCCAGTGCCTTTTCCAATCCATTGAGATACTCAGCTGG